AATTGATTTTAGATTTGTGAAAGTTGTATTGGGTCACGCTAAATCTACTTATGGTCTAATTTTTAGAATTTAAGCCCAAAATGTACGCATAAAAAAGGGAAAAAATAAATTTTTGATTTTTTAGCCTATACCTGAAGTAATATATTCAACCCTTAATTTGTTACTGCGTGTCTAAAGATACATATATTTTATGTATAGCTTTGTGTTTTTCTCGAGTTTGATGGAGAAGGGACTTTAAATTTTAAATTTTGTTGTTTCACTATAGTACCTTCAGTTACGATATTATCTAAGTTTGACACTCCCTACATGATGAAATCGGTCTAGCGGATCACTGTCAAAGCTAAAAAATTAATAAATCATCATTTTAAAAACAATATTTGCTCATCTCCAAAGCTAACAAATGTACATTTTAAAATTAATCTATTAGTTTATTATTCCGCTAACCGTCCGCACTTGATAACCCGTGTCGCGCTCTAGCATATTCTAACCCATCATCATCTGAAACATGGCCATCACATGTAGATGCCAGTTGTGTGTTATAGAACGCTTTAATCATATTACATTTTAATACTTATTTTAGTTTTGGATGCGGAGCTGAGGTTTTTTTTTTATTTAAAAATTAGGTTTATGTATTATCTACAATTTATACAAAGTAACATGTACATGTGCAAGTACAAGTAATTCAAGTCGTTTTCGAGCTGGGAGGCCAAGGCTAAAGCATGTTCCATGTTAAAAAACCTGACCAGGGTCAGAAGGTATAAGGTAAATTTGATTGATAAAATAATCAAGATAAAAACATGACCAAAGTTTTTCACGAACTTTTTAGCTAAAGAACTGACACTATGAACAAATCGAATTCAGCCAACTAGGTATAAAAACTATGTAAATTTCAGACGTCTGGGTTCATAAAATGCCAGGCAAATATAAATTCCAGTCAAAATAAAACCCAATCACTATCAAATTTTAATCAGCTTATCTAGACAATCAAACAAACATACTGGTAAAATTGTAGAGGAAAATTCGAACTGGATAGGTGCACGGACAAAATGTCAAGTCGTTCTTTTTTCAAAAAGAAGAATACATATAGTAATTTCACTACCATCACAGAATAAGTGAAATCAGAGAATGGACAGTTTTAATGTAAACGAAAACGTGGTGGCCATGTTTTAAATCTGCTATAATCATAATAAATTATATGTTATATTAGTATCATGATAACTGAATAATATTCCTGAGAAAAAAAAACAAATTTTATCATTAGCAACAGGTTGACGTCATCTATACCGATTTTAATAAAGCATTTGATTCTATCGACCATCGTTCTTTGATATATGTTCTGGATCGTCTTGGAGTTGGTGAACCACTTCTTTCATGGTTGAGATCTTACCTTATGGAGCGCAGACTGTTCTTAAATTTGTTTTGGAAATGCATCAGATTATTTTCAAGCGCTGTCCGGAGTTCCTCAGGGTAGTCATCTTGGTCCCATTCTGTTTAATATCTTCATAAACACCGTTTATTCCTTTGTTTCCCCATGCCGTGTTCTACTTTTTGCTGATGACGCCAAACATTTTTATGCAATTTCATCGCAGGAAGATTGCCTTGTACTACAAGCCGTTTTGGATAAATTTTCAATCTGGTGTAATTTGTTAGGTCTATCACTGAATACTAATAAGTGTAAAGTCATGTCCTATTATCGTACGCGTGCGATGTTGACATTTAACTATAGTCTAAATGCGATGCCTCTCGAGCGAGTTTACCAAGTAAAGGATCTCGGATTTTTGTGTGTCCCTACCCTAGACTTTCGGCCCCATATTGATTTCGCTATCAGTAGAGCGTTACGAGCTCTTGGGTTTATTAGGAGACATTCGTCTGATTTCAATTCTATTGAATGTCTGTCTGCCCTATATAATTCCCTAGTTCGGGTCTAACCTAGAGTACGGCGCAGTCATTTGGGCGCCATATACTGCAGGTGACAGACAGAGAATGAACAGTGTACAGAATAGGTTTTTAAGATTTGTTGGGTACCGCTTAAAAATCTTACACCCACCTCATGATTACAGTCCCATTAATAATGTTCTTGGACTGTAACCACTAGAGCAGCGGCGCAAGAACCTCTGCTCTCGGTTTATTTCGGGTTTGTTAGACGGCCGAGTTGACGCCCCTCGCTTATTGGAACAACTTAGTATTCGGGTCCCGACTAACACCAGACTTAAAAAGTTCTTTTATCTTCCTACTGCCAGATCCAATTTCACTAAAAATTCACCTCTCATTCGTATGATGGGAATTTTTAACGATTTATGATTTATATTATTCGTGTTAAGGTCACACCTCTCAATATTACCTTTTTATTATGTATATTTTTTTTTGTTTTGTTTTGCTTTGTTTCGTTTTCTTTTGGTTGATTTGGGTATTTTAAATATTACTACATATTTATATTATTGTCTAATTTATAAAAAGCCGTTTGGCATAAATTACTATAAATAAATAAATCATTTCATCCAGTGACCACCAGCAAAACTGCGCGGTTGACATGATGAAAACATACCTTGTTAGTTATACATATCATGATTTTTGTGTGATAAGTATCTTCTCCATGTTAATATTTATCAGTATCCAGGGTCTACTTCCATCCCGAAATTAAAAAAACGAATTTTCCAGGGAACCGTAGCTTCTTTTTTGAGAAAGCAAAAGTAATAAAATCACACTTGTGTCGTTTAAATTTCGCTACACCTACCAGCACTGTCCATTTCTCAGACATGTCAGACGTGATTTTATCTCTTCCTAAAAGAGCCTATGAAAAAAATTATACAGTTTCTTTTTTGTTTGTTCTGTGGTTTTTTCCGTGAAATAAAAAAAAACTTTTTATTGCATAATAATTTGTGATAATAATAATTAATTACCCAAATTAATTAAAGTCTCATGGAAAAATAATCAAACAACCTTGTACATGTTTTGTTTGTTTATAAAATTTCTAAATCTGAATAGCGTTAAAGAAGTAGTATAATCTTATACTTTTTTAGAGGGCAAATTATTTAACTAGCTCTGAATAATTCATTATCGTTGTTTTAATCATTGGGTAAAATATTAATATCAGGGTCAACTACATACTTGTTGCCACTTGCCTGTACTATCTAACTTAATACTATTCAGGAAGGAGCTTATTAAAATGTACTTAACATATTTAATTTAGGTATCCCCTTCTTTAAATCAATTTAACTTTTTCGATTTAGGGAGAGAATTTATAGAAAAAACATTATTATCGTTTAACTACAGACAAGTATAAGCCATTCGCATAATACTAAGTAAGCGATAGGAACACAATTAAGTCAGCATATCAAAAATGTAAATTAGAAACATCGTGAAATATCGAAAATATCTTGCCAACAAAATGGATTTATGGATGACCTAAAAAAGGAACTTTGTACTTTAAATACGAAATATTTTCCGTTGCTAACCCAACATAAATACTTGGTTTGTAACCATGGTAACCACGGTACTTGAGCGAAGGGTAGGTGGTAATTAAAAAAACAGGCCGGATTCTATGTACTACGATTCTGGGCAAGCTTTTAACCTGTTGAAACGGGATCTGGGACTGGGACTAAGGCCCTCGAGTAAGAGGAGGACATAATAACCGAAAAAGTATCACAAAAACGCTGTCGTGCTGTTATCTGATAAGAGATAAAAGATTAGAGATGAGGGGTGGAGATGGGAGTGGGAATGGGTGAATGGGGATTGTTTTACTCAGCCTTGGCAAACTTAATCTCGGGCAACGCCGGGTCGGTACAGCTTGTAGATAATATTACATAGAATATAATAAAACAGTGTAACAATAATACAACCACGTTAAACTTAAAAACGTTCCAGATAGAATGAGCTCTTACAACCAATACTATTTATGCCAAAACCGTAAAATGACACGCGCATACAAATTCACGGCGTTTACAAAACCAATCTTGTTTTTTTAATACATTTTCCTGTTTACAAAGTATTTTTATATAAAAATAAACAACATATGTATATTGCGAAATACTTACTGGTATATAAAATATTAATTATTAGTAAATTAATAGTACTACTGAATACAAAATACACGCGTGTGATTAAAATTATATTTACATTCGTAATAATAATAATTAATTACCCAAATTAATTAAAGTCTCATAGGAAAATAATCAAACCACCTTGTACATCTTTTATTTAGTTATAAAATTTCTAAATCTGAATAGCATTAAAGAAATAGTACAGTCAATGATTATGCAATAAAAAGTTTTTTTCTAATTTTTGTTGTAATTCAACATTTAAATTAACACTTGAAACTTGTGTGTAAAATACTATTCAGTAGAAATGGAAACGAAAACGTTAATACTACCATCGCCGAGCACAATCAATGAAATATATAGCAAATTAGATTCGTCGGAGGCAAAAATGGAACTCGACGTGAAAATTCTCAAGGAGTGGATGCGAAAACAACCTCACCTTCCTAACCCAGACAGTAAAATAAATAAATTTATTTGAAAACCTTTATTCTCGTAACAACATTATGTTCTAATTATAACTAAAAAAAATATTATTTATTAGATGATGAAAAATTAATTGATGAAAAGCGAATCAAAATGTTTCTTCTCATGTGTAAGAATAGTTTGGAGAAAACCAAAGTAAAATTGGACCAGCATTACACTATAAAACTCTCAATACCAGAACATTTTTCCAAATGGGATCCCACTTCACCAGAAATGGTTCAAGCAATGAAACTATCGTTAGTATATATTTGTACATATCTATTAGTTTTAGTTGCTTCAAATTAAATAACTGTTAGGCCCAGCGCACACGGCGCGACTGTTCTGCGACTAATTGTAAGGTTGCAAATGAGTTGGGCGCGCAACAGTTTTTTGACCTTGGCAGCGAAAAGCGGTAGGGATCCCCACACGAGGCGATTTGAAAAGGAGTAGTTTGCAATCGGTTTCAAATCGGTTTCAATGCGACCAGTTGCGTTGCGGCACAGTTGCAGTGAACTTAGTAGGTTTTTTTATTTTGGTTTTTTGTTGTTTTTGGTAATTTTTTTCAATTTTTTTTAATATGAATGACCAAGAATTAAATATAAAATTTGTTAAAGAGGTGGAGAAGCACCAGGAAGTTTATAATTATAAACTTCCTGACTACTCCAGAAAAGATGTAACTGAGAAGGCATGGCAAGAGGTTGCCGCCGAATTAAATATGACAGGTATGAAAAAGTAATATGTTAAGTAATTAATTATTTTTTTATGATTTATTAATTTGTGTATTTTACTGTACTAAACATTTGAAAGTAACTCGAATATTGCTAAAAAAAATATAGACTGCTATAATTTTAAGTTGTTTATCCTGGCTTCGAAAGTCAATGCCCACAAATCTTAACATGATGAAAAAAAAAAACCTTTCGTTCTTCTCTATTTTTAAATATTTTTATACATGGATAATATATATATATTATTCATGTTTTTATAGTCCGCTGTGTTATTGATATATAGACAGCCTACAGAAATCGATCATTTTTTTTTCTTTATAAAAGTTAATTTATTTTTATGTTTAAAATAGTAATGTACAGACTACTGTACGATAAATTTAATAACGATGACACTCCTCTTCCTACCCTCTCAATAGGGATTGTCACAAGACAATACGCTGTGCGCTGTACGGTCCCTACGGCCACCAAGAAATATAATAACAAAATATACACGCATAAACATAACCGTATTATTTTTATACACCTATTTGAATAGAAAATACCAACTGATCCGCAATCAGTCTTGCTCGTGTGCGGACAAAAGTTACGTTTTGGTTGTTAACTAGTTGCGCGCTCAACTGATTAGCAACCTTAGTCGCAAAACAGTCGCGCCGTGTGCGCTGGGCCTAAATATAACGCGGGCGCGGTGGCCGGTGGGTAGTGAGTGTGTCGGCACGGGGCGGCAAAATAACGCGCATGCGCAGTAACCAAAAACAAGTTGCTCAGCGTCTGCGCAGACTTGGCATATATTTTTAAATCATACTATAATCTATATACTGTAATATAGAGGTTTCAAAATCTCCTCATTCGTTTAGGTCTATTTATCCAAAATTAAAACTAAGCACGTAGTTTTGATATATTATGTTGGAATGAAGTATCATAATACTTGTCTATTAAATTGAAACAGAGGACTTTTGCTAATGCTGAACTATGTTGCCTATACTGTCTATGGCATTGAAATGATTTTATGGCTACAAATATTACTATAAAACGTAGTGTTTTTAATATTATTGTATAAGACATGACCCAAAGAGAAATAGCCGTGCTATATTTAATAAGTAAATTCAATGTCCATTTTTGAATGTTAAATGGTAACTCAATAAATTGACCCCTGACTCTTTTCATCCCAAATATATTGGGTAAAATGGAAAACTGATACCAAATTTGGAATTAGCGACTTCGAAAACATAAATAAGTATCAATGACTTAAATCGTAACTTATAATTAAAAATTTTAAAAGTACGCGTTTAAAAGTATTTTAGCTTTAATCAATTTTTTTCCTGTGGACCGAATTACTCGTGTACCACCATTTTTTAATCTGAAATCATATGCGATTGGTACTTTGGTGGGACAAAAGTAGAGCCGTCAAGTCTAACCCAAATACAAATGTCTAAATATCTTCGTCTAAGAATAAAGTATTAATTATTTGCACAGTGATATCAAAATAATTTAATTCGCATTAGTTGTTATAGTTATAACATGTTATACAAAAGGGCGTAGCCCATTCAACTCTCGTTTTACAAAAAGGTAAATTCCCAAACCGCTCCGGTTATTTACAACACAAATTCCTTCTAGTCAGCGAGTTTTTTATGGAAAGAAAACGAAAAATGTTCTATCATCTTTTCAATAATTTGAATAGATTCAATAGGAGTTGCTACCACTTTTACCAAATTCGGAATTCAATTTAATACTCTTATTAAATCTTTGAGGCACATACATTTTAATTTTGTTTAAACAGAAATTTAAATTTTCAAAGTAATTGCTAGAAGTTAAGAGTAGATTGGAAAATTTTATGAATAGACTAATTTTTTAACATTTCTTCATAGTTTTGTTTTGTTTTAATTGTTGAGCCATCATATATTTTAATAAAGGCTAAAAAAAAATAGCACTACTGAAAAAAAAAATACACGTGTGTGAATAAAACTATATTGACATTCGTAATAATAATAATTAATAACCCACATTAATTAAAGTTTCATGGGAAAATAATCAAACAACCTTGTACATTTTTGGTTAATTATAAAACTTATAAATCTGAATAGCGTTAAAGAAATAGTTTAGTCTTATACCTTTCTAAGTCAAGAGGGTTATTATGCAATAAAAAGTTTTTTTTTAATTTTTGTTGTAATTAAACCTTTAAATTGACACTTGAGGATTGTGTGTAAAATACCACTTCAATAGAAATGGAAACTAAAACGTTAATACTACCATCGCCGAGCACAATCAATGAAATATATAGCGAATTGGATACGTCGGAGGAAAAAATGGAACTCGACATAAAAATTCTCAAAGAGTGGATGCAAAAACAACCTCACCTTCCTAACCCAGACGGTAAAATAAATAAATTTTTGAAAACCTTTATTCTCGTAACAACATTATTTTCTTATTATAACTAAAACAAATATTATTTATTAGATGACGAAAAATTAATTGATGAAAAGCGAATCAAAATGTTTCTTATCATGTGTAAGAATAGTTTGGAGAAAACCAAAGTAAAGTTGGACCAGCATTACACTATAAAACTCTCAATACCAGAACACTATTCTAAATGGGATCCCACTTCACCAGAAATGGTTCAAGCAATGAAACTATCGTTAGTATATATTTGTACATATCTTTTAGTTTTAGTTGCTTCAAATTAAATAAATGTTAGTCATTTTAATAAATCAAGCAGCAACTTTTAAACAAAGAAGCTGCATTAAATATTTTGTCTTATTGACAAAACATTTATACTGCCAATCAATATTTAACAACCAATCGGTTTTTCAAAATATTCAATATTATTATGCTGTTTTAGACTGCATGTTCTTAACATTTTGAACAATTGATTAATATTTTAACTAACAATAATAATTGATAATCATTTTTCAGTTATTTTGTCCCATTACCAAAACCTACACATGAGGGCCACAGAGTTACCATTCAATGTGTAAGGACTGAAGATGCCGATAATTACGTATTTAAAGATCATGTTAAAATGTACATTATGGAATTAGATCTCAGAATTGCCAAGTTAGACATCTATAAAAAGGATGTAATCATATTTGACGCGAAAAATACTACAATGAATCACGTAACATCAATATTACCCTACTTTAAGAAAGCCATTGAAAGTTTACTTGTAAGTAATTTTTGAAATTTACGTTTAACTTAAATTTGATGCACGAGTTTATAAATTAATTGATTTAAATATTATATTTATTAATAAATATTATTTATTATATCTAAAGTAAGACACTTATTTTCTGAGAAATGATAAATATTTAAAAAATAATTGTTTTCCTACTCTTGTAGTTACATATTTTACTATTTTTTCAACACGTTGAAGATTTTCATCTTCATTCCTTATACTGAAAACAAGTACGAATAATTTTTCTTAAATGGAAATAATTGTTTTCAATTCCAATATCGTGTTGTTCCATCAATCTGTTGGTTTGCTATGACTGCAAATATATTATATTTACCCTTACAGTTATCAGTTATCACATGTCTTCGGTTTTCCAAATAATTCCCCCACATTCACATCCAAACCATTATCCAACACCAATAACTGTTAACCATTATTAATCATATTGTTCTACTGTTATAAAATCCGAATGAGTATTGATCTTAAATTCAAATCTTTACAATTTTATAGCAAACGAAGAGATTATTGATTATTTAAAAAAAAACCATAACTTTTGTTTAAATTGTTTGTTTACCTATTTATGGAATTAAAAACATAAAAATCTATGTGAAAAAAACTATAAGTACAATAAATATTCCACTGGCCGGCTTTTTTGTAAATTCAGTATTTTTAGTTATGGCGTTAAACATGGGGAGCGCTGGCTAACTAAAAACACTGTAATTTACGTGCAGCTAAAAAACCGACAAGTGGGCTATCTATTGTGTTTATAATCAATGATAATATCTTATTTGTATTGTATAATTATTATTTTGTTTAGGCGGCATATCCACTAAGGCTACATGAAATTCACTTTATTAACGTAAAAAGTTTCGTACATCCACTAGTTAATGTAGGATTAAGTCTTCTGAAAAAGAAACTTGCCAACAGGGTAAATCATTAATATTTTAACAACTATTTAGAAATATATAAATCATTAATATTTTAACAATTATTTAGAAATATTTTAATGTAATACTTATATTATAGGCGTTTAATCACAAATCCGTTGAAGAATTGAAAAGTTACATCGATCCTAGTATTCTTCCACTTGACTACGGAGGAACTTATCCAAAGATGTCTGACGAAATAGTAGGTTAGTAGTTTGTAATAGTTATTAAAAATAAATTTTACGTTTTTACTTTGTATTTAAAATTAATAACTTAAAAAAAGGAATCGACAATGAACCTATCGTAATTTATCGGTTAAATCCAAAACTAACAAATTATTATGAACAAGGTGATTATTTTATCGTGAACCACTCAATATCACATAAAGTTTAATAAGAAATTAATTTTTTCTTCTATGATTTTCTTTAACTCGCTAACACGTGTGTACGGGTATTTTTCAAATCATGCAAAAATAATTTAACCCACTTTCCGATGTAGTAGAGTGCTGAAACTTGGCAAAGACCCTCATCTTGGATGATAACACAATTTTCTGTAATAATTTTTAGACTCGGACATCCAGATCGCCGAAAATAATTTTACTACAAGAACAATTTACCAATAAACTGTAGCACATTTTTTTTTAAATGTCAATTTATGTGAAAAAAAACAAAAATTAACTATATACAATTTTAAATAATATTAACCATCTTTAATTTTTAACTAAAAAGAAAAGCGTGGGCCCTATTCAACTAAGTCCAAATTCATTGAGTTAAGTATTATGAAATGTATATGTCACACACTAATATTGAACCAAATTTAAATTTAAAAAAAAAACTTACAATACAAAACATTGTCTGATAAATGTATGAGGGAATTTGTTGAATAGGGCACCCGCTTCTCTTTTTAGTCAAAAGTTTAAGATGTTTAACATTATTTAATATTGTAGTGAATTTTCGGTTGTTTTTAAAGTAATTGATATTTTAAATAAAATGTGCTACGATTGATTGGTAAATTGTTCTTGTAGTAAAATTATTGTAGCAGGTTAAAGAAAATCATATAAGAAAAAATGAATTTCTTATTAAACTTTATGATATATTGAGTGGATCACGATAAAATTGTTACCCTGTATAATATAAATTGATAATAATTTATTATAATTTATAATACCATCTTCACTTCAAAACTTTAACTAATTGTAAGTATCTTAAAATGTAACAACAACCATTGTTAATGTACATTAATTAGTGGTTAACGGTAAAATGATCACATGTACAACTAAAGAAATAATAATTATTTTAAATTATGTAAAAAAAAATTAATGATTAAATTAAGTGCCATTTGTATATAAATAAAAATAATTGTATGGAAAATGGCTGGATTATTAATGCGATTACAGGATTATTGTTTAATCAGGGAGAACGGAAAGCGCTATTTATTAAGGGGCAAAGGATAGGCAGTAATATAGTATTTAGGATGTTTTCTAGCTTATTTTTAAATTATGATATTATATTAGACGTCAAATCAAATCAATGTTTATAAAAGTCAAGTTGGCAACTAAATTTCAGATTTTTTTATCACAATAATGCTATACAAATAGAATACAACTATTCTATTGCCACTTGGGTGTCCAGGTGTCCTATTATTCCTGCTTATAACACGATAATAACGAGTTATCTTTTTAGGTTCGAAGGTAAAATGGTTAGGTTGTTACACTAGTACCTGTAAATTATCTAAATTATCTTGTAAAGTAAAGTTTTTTGCTTGTTATTACATTTATGAAAAACTAACAGATGGGCATGTTAATGGGTATAGTTAATATACTTAAAACAAATTCCTATTTGAACTATGGATTACGAATTATTTATTTCAATAACTACGATTGTCGTTTTAGCCTAAAAATCTGATTTGTAAAATAATTTAAATGTTTTAATTTTAGATGACTGGCATGATGAAATGATGAAGCATCGAGAATGGTTTATAGCACAATCGTCAATTGTTGCAGATAATAGTAAACGCCCAAAAAATTCCAATAATGATTTGGATAATTTTGAAAACGCAATTGAAGGTTCATTTAGGAAATTAGAGGTTGATTAATCAACTAATTAGTTGATGATTCATGTGTTAATAAAAATTAGCTAGGTCTTCTAGAAACCATCATGCATTATAACTGTGCATAAAGGTGCATCATACATGCTGTTATCTTAATAATATATTTATATATTCATTAAAATTTTCTAGTTATAAAGTATTTTGTTTTTCTAACATCTTAGTCTAATACTATGTGGTGTAGACAATTACGTAAGGGTTTAATAATATTAAGTTGTGTTGTAGTATAAATGTGAAAAAATATGTTACTTTTTTGAAATAAATATAACAAATTGTGTAAGTAACATAATATGAGAGTATAGTTTGTACGTTGTAACTTTCTTGCATTGTAAAATATTGTTACAAGTTTTATATGGTTTTTTTATGGGGTTTTAAATACAGTAACAAATAATTAAACCTCCGAAAACAACAACAATGTTTTTCTTGTTTTATTTTAGGAGATAAAATGTAAAATAAATTAGAAGACTTTCGTAAGACAATGGATGAAAGTTTAGGTGTCGCGTTTAAGCTGGAAAAATATAAAGATTCCAATTTGTTTACAAATTAAGTATTACCTAACCAAATAAATAATTTATATGATATGTTAAAAAATGTATTTGTTTATTTATTTAATAGAACTTGCACGACGCACAGTGGTCTGAAAGCTAATTTAGATGGAATAAAGTAAATGATTAAAATTCGTTCAAATAGGTATTTTATGTTATTAACTACAGTAGTTATTTATAGTTAAATTTTTTTTTCTGAAGTAGTTTCATGTGAGAAATGAATTTCGAATACTTAGGTAAGTGTTTCATATCAATACTATGAATATTTATTATTTTATTATTAGAACAAAGTTAAATAAGTAGTAAGAAAATGTTAATATTGATATATCAAAGCATATAACTAAAATTACCCAAAATAATCGTTGTTCAATGTATAGTACTTGTTCTTCAGTATCGGATCCCAAAATTTGGTTTGCATCTGTATTTTTAATAATTTTTTTTAGTAGCTCTAGCAGCATTGTTGTAATAAATGATTCTGAAATCGACTTGAAATATTTGGATTTGAATAATACTGATATTCTCGGTATTATTCTGATAATGATTTTTATCAGCTATTAAAAAATAGAGGTCAACTAAATCCCCATTCTATAAAATTAAGAAACTATTTATTTGAAATTTAAAAAAGTTACATTTGTACATAGTAATTTAATAACAAAATATGTTTATTTACCCATTTATTATAATAATTATGTTTCTTAAAAACAAATCATAAAACTTATGTATATTTTTACTATACTTTAGTGAAAATTCAAATTTCATTCATAAAAACATACTAATTGAATTAAAAACAAATTAATTGTTAAAAATAACATTTACAAATGTTACAAAAATAAGTGGTTTTTTTAAACAATACCCTCTAACCCCCTAAATAAGGGGTGAATTTCATATTAGATTTGGATTCAATGTTACCAAAATTATATAAAATCGATACGAAACACAAGATATGGTACAAAACTAAAAAACAACCCCTTAATCGCTCTTTTAACCCTTCCTAACACGGTAATTAGGGTAAATAGAAATATTTGTATCATTTTTTTTTAAATCAACTACCCTAAAAACATAAATTAATTCGCAAAATTTTGTTTTTTTCAAATTTCAAAAAAAAACCTAATTCTCTAAATAAGGGGAGAATTTAAAAATTGATATAAATTCTGAACTCTACGACCACAGAAACATAAAGTGCCAGCTTCTTTTATAATTATTTAGGCGAAATTCTGATCAATATAGGTTTTTTCCAGCTAAAATTGAGTTCCCGACCATTGTGCGACAGGCAAGAATTCCAAGACACAGTACAATAACATTATTTGCTTATATAAATATATATACACCCATTAATTTATTTTCCTTTTTATTTTATTTTATTACAATATTATGATATACCGTATAATCATACACGTGAACAATGTGTAGGTAGTAGGTACATTCAAGAAATTCAGTTATCTTAATAAAACACATACCTGCTCCTATCTGCTTAGTACCCAATGATTATCATGATATATTTTGATATAGTTTTCATCATCAGAGAAGTGTCAACAAAGAATCATGGTTAATATGACTAATAACATAATATTGCCTATATTTTTTATTTATAGTTTATACATTGATTAATTGATAATATTTTCACTTGAAACTTTAATTACAATGATTGATATAATAAAATATCTTAATTGACCAACTTAATATTCATTTACGACAGCGTTAACACGAAAACTTATTACTAATCCTGATCATTGATTGTAGTTGTTTTTTTACATGCATTGACGTCTGAGATTTTCTAACTTTTTTAAAATTGGATTTTTCCTGGTGACCTTACCAGGCCTATTGTAATTTGTTGCTCAAGAAAATTGTTCGTAGGGTATTTTTGTAAACGGTTGAACACAGGATTTTATTATATTTTTACCTTTAAAAAATATTTATTAATAAAACACCAAACCAAAATACCGCGGTTTTCACTTGATTTGTAATTCAACGTCAAACGCAAAATTTCGATTTAGTTCCGATTAGTTACAAAATAATAAATAATACATATGTACAATGTATTTTGATATTGTAGTAAAATCGTCTATTAAAACCCGGGTTAAAAATCAAATATTACTTTTAAAAGTGGTAGCCAATAACAGGTCAAAACGCCAAATACGAACAAACCCCCTAGGGTTTTTTTCGAAAACTACACTGCTTGTCTGTTGCGGGGAAAAGAATGCTTTAAAATTTTTTTGGATTTTTTTTCGATTACTTTGGCTATGGTCGTAAAAAGAATTTTTAGTTTTTTTCTTGACACTTTCTTTTTTTGTCGTTTATATTTTATAGTATCTTCGGCCATTAAACAAATATCATTAAAAATAAAATATTTCTTATGTAAAATAATCTCATCTTTCTGAAAAATATTGATTTATTCAAGCAACAGTCATAAGTATTTTTTTCAGAAATCTCCAACAATTTTACATAAAATGTGAACATTTAAAATTATTATCTTCATAAAAGTATTTAATAGTCAAACTTTTAGCAAATAGTTTCTTAAGTTTAATTTAAAGTTTCAAGATATGAAAGTATTACAAATTCAACTATTCAAACGATATATTATTCATTCCAGATTAAGTGTTTGCCTACATAAACAATTGACTCAGATGTGATACTCCTCGAAGCTTGCCAAATATACTGTTTAGGCACAAGTTGTTTAAAATATTTATCATTTATTTAATAGGTACTGATACTTATGATACAACATAGTGTAAACATAGGGTAAAATAATACAATTAAAAAGTATAGTAATATAGTTAATTAATTACATATTAAGATTTTGATAATTTTAATTTTGTATTTACAATGCTTAATGAATAGGTAAATGTTTATATAAATTAAAATAATAAATAAATAAAGCAATTGCACGCAAACAAGTTCAGACCAATTGACAAAAAAAAAATAATAATAAAATATCTAGTATGTATTTTCTTAAATTAACAAAACATTTTTTTTTAATGAAATTAGAACTTGTTGACAAACAGAACAGACCTAATTATAAAGTCGAAACTAAATTTACTTTTATCCAATACGACAATGGAAACGGCATTTAATTTACGACTTCTACTTATATAATACAAAATTTTAAGTAAAGTACATAGCGTAAGTTTACTGATTGACTTCCATTTCTTGTTTGTCATAAAACATTATTATATAACTTTTTAAAAAACACACTAATATAAATAGATTAATAAACAAAAGGTATCATATATATTAAGTTTAAAATCTACATATTCTAAAAAATTAGTTTCACTAATAGTTTTTAGGTTCATCTAAATCATTATCAACCCTGTTATATTACTTTCTGACTCACAAACCAATGCATACAATAGTCGACGTTGATTTGATGATGATATTAAGAGTTTATAACATCTACATAAAATATTAATATATAAGTGTATATATATATATATATATATATAATTATATATATATAATACATAAATATATATATTTTTTTTTTGGTTATTTCAAATACAATTCATATGGTACAAAAATTACAAATATAGATAAGAGACGCGAAAAAAGTTTTCAATCGACTTTAACAACACTATATATTTTACGGACAAACCAAAATGTAGAGAAGAATCCAATAGTACCTGAAATAAAATTTACACAAATAATTGAATGCGATAAACAAATTTGGTATCTAATTTTGAGGACAAAAAAAACGATCATAGGTCATAACCAACAGCCATTAGAATAATTACAAATCATATCTTACCAGTCATCAAAAAGAACAAGAACACCATTATCATTGTATATCCAAAGTATAGGAAAGTAGAAGCCATTCCTTCTATATTTAGTCTAGTCTTAAAGTAATGCACACAATACAAAAACAAATAGAACGACGTGAATGCACTGGTCAAAAAACTTCTCCACCACCAATGATAATCCTGCGAAAACAAAACATTAATAAATTACAAGACGTTACATTATATATATACACACACACATATATATTTATGCATTTATAGTTTTACCTCAGCACATAAGTGGAAATAGCATAAAAGTACAGTAGTTTCGGAACACGTTATTATAAGAATAATAAATACGAGGAACAAGAATCCAAACATGTAGTACATTTGGTTTGACCTGCAATAAAAAAAAATACAATGTGTACAATATATTTCATTTACATAAGAAAAGAATGTGTTTATTTAGATTGAAAGCTCTATTAAGTAAATAAACAAGTAAATTACTGCAGATTAAGTTAATGTTAAAAAAAAAAATTATTAATTTAACCAAAAGCAAATGTATATAAAACATTTTGACAAAATTTGAATTTTTTTTCCGTATTAGAATAAATATACATCAAGCCAGTCCACAAAGCAATACAAAATGTTTGCTAACATGCTCTTAGGAATCCTCCGCCCTCTGTTGGTACATCGAAACATTAAAGGAATGTACACAGAAGTGCAAAAATCTATAAAACTGTTTACGTGAGTGTCAGTGTGGCTGGCTAAAGAACGAATCTAAATCGTCGAGGTTCAAAAAAATTGCCATGTTCGTGACCGTAAGTAAGTGGTAACTTACGTTTGTTCATGAACGCATTCAAGAGGTATTTAAATGAAAAAGAACCCATTACATGAACACATTCTTTTCATACACTAGTTTTTTACTACTTGACATTTTTTTAGTATAGTGATTTTTAAATACAGACTTACCACAAGGAATTCAATATGAAATATAATTGAATAAATATGCACCCAAAAGGTAAAACACCGCCCATGATGATTCCTGGGAATGGTTGTGTGTAAATAGTCTGTTCTGGTATCTGCCGAGGGATCTGATTTGTTCTTACCGGATGTTCAATCGGCTAAAATAAAAATTCAAGAAACAATACAATGTGAATTTCAACGACAAAATATACTTAATATTATCATACTCACTCTTTTACGGAATCCAAATAGGGCGCCAAGGAATGTCAACGGTACAGAAACAAAAAACCATAACACTAGTAGTGCGAGTAAAGTTGAAAAAGGAATTGCAGCAGAACTCTCTTTAGCCCATAGTACCAGATTCATGATAAAGAACAAACAGAAAACAATTCTAGAAAAAAAATGGCAACTTTATATAGACTGAAATTGTTAAACTTAAGGAAAAAAGAAAGTGCTCAGCTTTTCAGTTATCGATATTTCTCATTACCACCATGTATTATTAAAAATGGTGGGAAGGAAAAAGGGCAAAGCGACACTTTTAACATAAAAGTGTTTATATTTTAGATTTAGGTGATGCTATTTTATATAGATAATATCTAATTATTAATAAGAATCTTATTGACATTGTTATAATGAATTATATAATAATTATGAATAAAGTATGCAGCATTTTTTCAAATGAATTAACAGATATGATAAAAATTGAAACTAAAGTGATAAGTCACTCGGCGTAGGATCCAAAAAAACTATTATATTAAAGTATCTAAAAAATACAATTTACAACTAGAAAAAATTAAGACATTTTTTTTACAAAATCAAGTGACGCGAGAGTATTAATATCTATACATTTATTCAGACCAAAAACTCAATTAGTTAATTTAAATAGCTTCAGTATATAAAATAAATATTTATAAAAAAATGTTGTTGAGCTCTTATATAAAATTTAGAAACTATCACCCATATTATGTTTTCTTTTTACCATCGGTATACTAGTTGAAAACATATATGAAATTTAAATTACAAAATATCTTTCATTTTCGTCAATAGACTAATAAGATTAAGTTTGAAACATGAAATGTAAGAGCCTGCGACCCTCCTTTTTTTGTTTAGGCATAAGATTTATCATGCACATAATTCAATTATAATTTACCCTGGACAAAACATCGATGTAAGTATAATATTGGTCTTCCATTTTTCACCACCAAAACTCTTATAAATTCTCGAAGACACGTATCCAGCTGGTGTTCCAAGGCACACGTACAATATCAAAGAGCATGTCATCAGAGAACCTCGATTAGCCGGAGACAAAAAGCCCAAGCATGCAAATGCTGTAGACAATAATAAAACAGTAAGTATTACAGTCTAATTTAACAAAATATGAAAGCTATTTTTTACCCAGTGTTACTACAGTCATGCAGAGTACTTGAACGCCAGAGCCAACAAAAACCGATAACAACATTCCTCGTCTAGGTGGTCTGAATACATCTCCATGAACTAGTTTCCAGCCAAACTCTTCTTTAATATCATCTCCAGCATCAATCTAACAAATTATTAAGTTATAGTAATAGTAATTAAATAAAAAAATATTATTGGTATAATATATGGTTCTAGTTTCTAAAAGTAACATTAAGAACAATTGTTTCATTACTTTGACATTACTTTTATTGGTTTCATACTAGTTTTAACAAGTGAAATCCAGAAATGCGGGTAAAATAGGGTTTATATAATATATTATTACGTTTATAAAAGTGTTCTATGAACATATGGAATTATTAATTTCTATAAATATTACCTAAAAACGAACCTGAAACAAGCTATTAAATACAAGTTTTGAGTATAAAATATTAAGTAACCAAAAGTCAGTACAGTAGGTTTGGAGCATATTAGGGCGAGGGAGGTCACAGGTCTACATAAGTTGTTATAACTGATAGTTATAAAATCACTCTCAAAATAAATGCTTTGATTCGAATTTGTAGATAGTAGAAATACAGATATCAAATAAAATCATTATATTGCCAAAAATATGGTTAAAATTGTATTTTTAATATTAGGGTAAATACAATTTGGGTTAATTGTTTGTCTATAATAATTTGTTGCCGCCTTTATCCATATACAATATTGTAATAAAAAATGTAAAAACATATTTTTAGATATCTGTTGACTGTTGATCCACTCACACATAGCAACCTTAAAGTTTTTTTTACAGTATAAGTGAATTTACTTCTATTTTTTTTGGTTTTTCTTACTACAGATTATTGGGAAAATTTAAATGTTGTCATCCCTCTATAGATGAATTTAGTAGCGCCAATGTTAATCATTTTTCATGTAACAAACATTAGTATTAAGCTACCACCCACCCCACTAAGTATTATTGATACTTTATGTAATTAGCAGATTTTCAAACTTTAAAAAAACTGAACTTTTTTAATTTTTAGTCAGTAAAGTACTATTTAGGTAAGATGTCTGATATAAAGAAATTGATTCCGAATATATCATAGGTCTAGACACAAAAAAACTTAAACACTAAAATAGACACAAAAGTACATTTTCAGCTACGCATTAAAGCTAACAGTTGTACAATTAAAATTTAATAACAGGATTTTCAAGGGTTCAGATTTAGTTTGAAAAATGTAGAAAAATTGATTTACTTGATTATATCTTGCAATGTCTTTGTGTAATGTTCGTAAAATAATCATTGCAACCATTCCTGACAGGAAAACCACGATCATCAATGAATTCAAAATGCTAAACCATTGAATGTTAGTGTGCGGTACAGAATCTAATATATAATCCCATCGCGAAGACCACTTGACAGTGTTGTTCATCTTAAATAATATTCAAGTAGTATTAGTATTTAGAAATTACACAGAACAGTTTGATACCAACCTCAAATTTAACAGAGTATGTGTATGCTATACTCATTTCAGATGTTATTTTATCAGCTGGTATATCCATAAAGTCTGCAGATGGATCATTACAATTTAAGTTATCGTTATCAGACTTGCTATATTTAATACTCCTGGGTTTCACTTTAACAGCTAAAAAATAATTAAATTTGAATATTAATGTATTAATACAGTATCAAAAACAAAGTGTATTAATTGATTAACCAAGAGAAGTTATTCGAAACTGGTAATTGGCTAATAGTTTTTTTCAATTAATCATTGTACGATTATAATGGACACTAGTAACAAAACGGTTAACCAAATTAAATTTAATGGTTATGGTGTTATTTTTGAAAGTTACCTTACAAAACTATCCTTAAAATATAATTACCTAATTTGAAACATTTAAATAAGGTAGTTATTTAAGAATTTAATAGGTAATAAAAAATGCAATATATTAGTCAAAAGATCAAATACCAAATTTTTCAATAGTACTGACCTATAATTCTGCCACCTTCAGAACCAAAAGATGAACCCCACTCCTCATTCTTTCCACTGTGGTACGTTATTGTGAAATCCAAATGATTGAAAATGTAATAAGTATTTGGTTTTAAATTGTTGCTCTATTTAAAAAATATATACCACAATTAATTTGTCATGTATTTAAATAACTAATATTGTAAATATTGAAATCATACTCCAAGAATACTAGCACATAAGTTATTATTATCATTTTTATTAGGTGGTGAATAACATCCCATCGGAAATCCTGTGCTACAATACTGTTGGCCGTCTTCCATAAGATAACACCATGTAACTGGCATATTATCTGTAAAATTAAAAAAACACACACATAGAGTAAATTAGAGTAACTAAAAATTAATCATCTAATTACTTTTTTAATAAAATTATGTAATATATAATATATATTAGAGTTCTTATATAATAACAACTTTGTTAGTGAAGATTGTTATAAAATACTACTCTAATCCTAAAATTGTTTTCACATATTCTTGTAAGTAACCTACATAATATGTAATGTTCTTTAAAATTATTATGAAGCCTGGCAAAGAAAAAACAATGCAAAATCATTGATACATAGTTTTCTTACAATCAAATTTTACTACAAATAGAATCATAAGAAAACAAAAAGAAAAAAATGTCCGTTGTGCAGGCAACCCAAAGTATCTATTCAAAATCAAGTTACAACACTTGCTATTTAAGGCTTAGAATTGATTTACTTTGATTAGAATAACACAATAGTAATAGATATGAGTGAATTTTAATGACTCTGAATGAAGATGTAGAGAAGTACAGTAGTTCACATATATGCCACAGCTGACTCAGGCTTAAAACAATGGAGGACACAAGTCAGTTATCATGCTTAACCCTTTGTTCAGTAAATTTCTGTTGACTGATTATAGCCAAGCGACCATTTACTCTATACAAACAAACAAAATAGAATATTTAGGGGTTCTTAACTAATGTATGATTGCAATATAGAGACAGCGCTGTCGATAGGTCTAAAAACTATATTTTAATGATTTACTGATCATATTTTGCTAAATATTTTCACCAACAAATTCTACATAACTTTTAACCTTATAACAAATATTATATCATTTTTTTAAATGAACAGAGAACGCTTTTAAAATAATTAAAAATAACTATTCTATACATACCGACTATAAAATGATGTTGGTAATTCAAACGCATTCCTCGTTTAAGAACGAACAGTTTTATTACACTTTTTGGGTCATTATGATCATACTGTTTAGAACAAAGTTTTTTACAAGACTCATCTTTCATAAAAGAAATCTATAAATAAAATATCAAACATATAAACAATTTTATAATAAATGGACATTTAGCATTTTATGACAATAGTCATAATTATTAGGCAGTGAGACAATGAAACAATTTCTAAACTCTTTTATTTAATTAAAATAAAAAATATTTTAATTATTATTTTTAAGTACAATGTGCTTTAATCATGTCACCGATTTAAGGGCTCACGCCTATTGTTATAAGTATAGTAAATAAATAAGTAATAACTAAAAAATATTTCAATTTGAACAAACATAAATATAAATTATATATTATGAAATAATAATAATATATATTATATTATTACTATATAAATACAAAATATATAGATATTGCTTTAAATAAAATATTTCAAATTTAATTTAATAAAACTATTTTGTTTTGCTTTAAGTCAAAAATATTATTTTATTATTAATACAATAATTAATACTTAAGATAAAAATTATAATGTAGACAAAATGGATTCATATATTATTTACCCATAGAAATTTCATTTTTTTTTTTTTTTTTTTAAATTATTTATCTAGCAAATGAAGGTGTTTTGCAAATCTAATAGGAAATTAAATATATATACCTCATATTTGGAAGGCCTGATACGTTCTCCAAACAGCACCTGGCCCAAGTTCTCTGTTGGAGACTTGCTTTCGTCCGAAGTACAAAAATCAAAACTAAACCAATTCATAATATAGATATTAAAAATATTTAAAAACTGTTAAAACTAATATTATATGTATTGAATTCAAATTCTTAATGAAGTAATGAAAAAATAATGCTTAATTAAAAAGTTGAACAAGTAAACAATGTTCAAAAAACTAGCTTTTGGAAAAAGTGTACTGTCATTTAAGTAGAAAGTTTTTTCATTGTCACGTGAAAAAATAAACTGAATAACAAACATGCAATTAGATTCGGTAAAGTTTCAAATTTCATAATAATTTATAAACATTCATTTACTCATATGAAAATATAGTAAAATATATATATATATATATATATATAAAAACACACCATTGTGTAACTAATACCATCACAGCTAGGTATACAACAAAGCTAATAACATATTATTTTATTAATATTATTGGTACAAAAATCTTGATTAATTAAATGGTTTTAACTGAAAATGTTTTCGGTACGAATGTTTTACTCAAATAGCAAAACATGTTCTTATTACCAGAAAGAATGGTCCAGGAGGAAGGTTGGCAAATATCGACTGGGCCACTCCCGTTTTAGGTTATGGGGTCAGTATATTATATTATACTAGTGTCTTGTTGTGGACCTGTTCTATGTTAATTAAAATGACGATTTTTGTAAAGGATTTCAAGGTACTGTGTAAAAGAAATTTTCAATACAATATATAGAAGTCTAATCATTAGTAAAATACATTATGGTAAGTTCTGAATTGTATGATTATGTCAACAAAATTCTAAACCATCATTTTATCAAAATTAAATATTTTCTTTTAATAGTTTTGATGCACCAGCCTATCATAGTGTACATATCATTATGTAAACTATCTACATCATGATAGGTAACAGTTAGTCTAATAATACTGTCTTTTTCATAGTTAAAGAAATCTCCTCGATTCTTTTTGTTAGTAATGATTCAAATTAGGGTTTTTCTTGAATATTGTTGATAATTGCAGCAAGCAAGAGGGAAACTACTGCATCAGAGATACCTAACCCGAATAGCCAATGATGAAAGAGGCACGCATGGCTAATTCAACAAGGCATTTGCCTTTAGAACATGATGATGATGATTGTTGATAATTAAAAAGTTTTTCAAGAGCACAACAACTCTGACAGCATATAACTATAACAGTGATAGACATAATGACTTACTAGTGGTACTCGTATGGTATGACGGACTCGTCGGAATTCAGCCTGTTCACATACAGCTCGACGTTGCTCTACAACAAAAATGAAAAAGTACAATGGGATTAAATCAATACGACGAATGAGCGATGTCATATTTTCGCACTCGTATCATCGGGGCGGAGGTGCCTACATCGACTGTAGTCACGATAGACTAAAAGTGACAAAACTACAGCGGTGGGACCGCCGACAGGCGTACTATTTATTATTATTATATTTTAATTTAATACTATTTACTTTGCACGCGGGGGTGCTCTCCCGGCAGTAGTTGACTGGAGCCAAACCGGGCAGATAAAACGTGCACGCCGGACCGCACAGCAACAACAGCGACGTCAACAGCCCAAAAGTGGCCGGGAAGGATTTCATAGTTTGAAATCTTCGCGATGACACAAACACAAAATAAACCGCCTATATAAACACCGTCACTGCTTACCGACGATCACCGGGCCTTGCGTGATGCCTCGTACACAGCGATTAGGTATTCATTACAATGTTGTTCGAAAAATTGATAACCAGTGTTATCAGTGGGACGGCGGGTGTAGGGCAAACGACACCGAACACAGTGCTCGGCGACTGTAAGTATAATCTGTACACACTACACCGTAGGACTGTAGGCGGTACGATGGGAAACGTACATCACAAATTTTAACAATGTTATTATGTACTACGGTCTGAAGTAGCAGCAGCGGCTACAGCTGTTGTTTAATACAAAAAATTGCAAACTGCGAACCCATTCGGTATTCGGCAGCAACTCCGGACGGCATAGTATTACCAACTTCGAAAAATTAAATTATCCGACATTGTCGATACTATTATACCTAAATATATTAAATACCTACAACCTACTATCTGCTATAATGACTTTGTCATCATAAATAAAATAAATAAGAATACCTTTTAACATTCAACGGTCGACGGTTCTGTTAAAAAGTAAAAACCATTCGATAATCGATAATGTTGTTTTCTTTTATACCAATCAAATTTGAGTAAACCGCTTTTTCCGAATTAATAATTAAATCCATAATAATATATACCTATATAGTTATAATTTATAAATGTATGAACTATAAAACTTATATTGAACACTCCCTATTGTTTCAACAATTATTAGTATAAACTATAATTATCATTGAATTGTCGATGACCTATAAAATTGAAGATAGATATTGTATAAAATTATTTTAAAAATAATAATAATCTAGAAAAACTGAAATCATACAAACACAAGTAATTTTTAATTTATGTTGAACATAGAAATATTAGTAATAGGATCATAATATGTTACAATAATAATTATACTTGTCAGCTATATGACTGAAGGCTTTTATTGATGGGCATGGGGCCTTTATTTAATAAAACCCCTATAGAGTAATTATATTTTACAAATATTTCACTTTATCCATATTCGTCTAAAGAGAGACATTAACAAAACATATTACAAATATCTATGAGTTATTGATAGTGTAAGAATGTATAATCGCCAATACCCTAAACTATTACTGTGCATATATATATTTGTTATTTAAAACCAAAAAAGTGTCAAATTAAAATAAAATTAAGAAATAGTTTTGTCATTTTTAATGTTTTTTTTGTTTTAGTTCAAACTAAGATTTCAAATTATTAAAAAATGCTTACAAGAAGTAAACTACATTCCAAATATTTTTTAACAACTCTGAAAAATCTGAAAAGTCTTTTTCGTCTTTTCATATTACATACAGTTTATACTGTTCTTTATTCAATAAAATATTCTAAAATAAAATTGTTTAATAAAAATCAAAAGTAATTATTATATTTCTAATCAACTTTCCATTGGCAGACATTTGAGGGGGGTTTCCAAAACTGGCTTCTAACATGAAGTTAGTGTAGTTAGTTTTACCTACATTTTCAAATTTAACTTTTTGGGTAAGAGAATTTTATACTAGATGACCAATTTAAACCTAACGTTTTAAGTATACCTATCCCCTTTAAATTTTTGCAAATGTCTATTGTAACATTTGAACTAATTTCTAGTAGCTAGAAAATTGTTTAGTATTTAACAAGTCATTAGAGTACAACAAGAAAAACACATCATACTGTATCATAGTTTAAGTATTGTAACACTAAGATATTTTTCTTTGTAGACAATTTAAGTGTGTTTTTCGGCGATAATGATAATCTAAATATTCTATTACTTGATGAAGTAGACAGAAGTTTTTTTTCAGTTTTAAAAAAAAAACCTTTATTTTATAACATTTTACAAACAGCTTTATCATATACAATATGCTTGTTTTATTTCAAAAAAATTATAATAAAGAAAAAAATACACACATTTATATTACAAAACATTAATAAAAAATTAAAATATTCTACTAAATTATTATTACACGTAATTATTAATCTTTATTCAATTCTTTCATTCTTAACTTCCTGACAACTGGTGTAGCTTTGACCCGTAATCTTGTTCGTGCTGGTGTCTTGAAATCAAGTGATCGACACACAGGAATCGGTGAATGAATAACCTTCGTTTCTACATAACCCATAATATTTTCCAACTTCAGTGATATATCTAATTCTTCGGCGTACAAAGATATCCAGGAATCAACAGTGTTCTTTTTAGATTTTTTCACATAGTTTAGAGATTGGTTTTCATTATTAAAAAGAACCATATGTTCTGCATAATAATATTTAGCTGCTATGTTTTGTCTAGTTTGTAGAACATTATACACTTCATTTTTGTTAAATTGCAGTGAAGATAAATCAATTAATTTGAACGCTAGTTTAAAATAAGTCTCTGCCATGTCTCGCTGACTTGATTTTGAACAGTAAACAGCTTTAAGAACACATGCTTCAATAACTGAATACATTACAACAGGTTCATGCGGTTTGCTGCGATTGATGGTTTCGTTGCAAAATTCTACAAGGCTCATTTGAAAGTTATTGTTGTTTAATTTTTTTAATGACGGGGAAGCCATTCTGTTTGGCCTGGGATTAGGCATACACCTGTAATCTGACAACGGGGAATTGAGAACATTTGGAGAGTTATGTATGGTTAACTTTTGCATTTTCAAATCTGCATCATCTTCTTTGAAGTCTAATAGTGTCATTATATGTTCTAATTGACAACTAAAATTTTCAAAATTGCAACATACCAACTCGTTCCAACAGTTCATTGAAAATACATTTAAAGCTCTTTTAGTTAACACTGATTTCAAAACAATGTTCATCTGAACTTTTAAAAAACACCTTGCTTCAGCCGGTCTCAATGTATTTATATAAATTAAATTTAAATACGAACATATATTCAATAGTAAAAAGTGCATAGCTAAATATTCATAGAAAGAATCTAGCCGCTTTACAAGATTATGTGCAATGCTATAAGCTTCTATAAAGACCGAAAGTGCTTTAGTTTGGTCGAATTTCCACGTTTCAAAACTAAGTCGGCTCTTTAAAAAACAATATTCGGCCATAAGTATAGCATTGTCTTTTAAATCATCATTTCCAATACTAGCTAATAGTTTTTGGGCTTCACTGAATTCTGAAATGTTTAAAAATGATGTTGCCAAGGCTAGTTTGTACTCATTGTTTGCACTTGGTAGTTTTTTAGCCAAAATACTTGCCTCCGCCACATCGGTTTCACAGATTTTCATCAGTTCCATAAGTGCTATAAACATATACTTGTCACATTTCCTGGCTGAAGCAATATCATACAACAGCTTCCACACTTCTACTTCCTTTGCATCACAATGAAGTTTGAATACATAACCGATTTCTCGTAAACTAGCATATAGGGTTTGAAGGTCGTATTCATTATTTATATCTTTTATTTCTAACTTAGACCAATTTTCTACGGCTTGATTTAAACAGCTAAACAATTTAGGCTGTATTTTTAGAGGAACTATCCAGGCCATTGGTGGATAATGCAAACTATTTTGTTGTTCTATACCAGGTTCCTGTCTTTCTTCTGTATAAGAATCCAATTCCTTACAAACTTGATTCTGTAGATTTTTCAATGAACACATAAATTGGGCATAGTACATATTGCCTATCATTAAATTTGCTTTACTTTTATTCATTGCTGTTTTCAGTTCTAACACACGAGTGAAATCTTCTAAAACTGTCATCACTTTTTTCAGACCATTAATACTGTCGGAATGAAGTATTATATAAGCCGTGACAATAATAACACGACTTTTCAGTTCTGTTGGTAGTTTATGACTCAATAGACTATCAAACAGGTCTAGTACTACAGTGGTATCTTGTTTAAGTCTGTTTCGGTTATTATGAGCTTTTAACTCTAACCACATAATTTCAATACAATCATCTTTACTCAAATTATATTCGGGCCACTTCCGTTTAACTTCAGAGTCTTCTTTAATCATTTTTAAAATAGTTTGATCGATAACATGGTTATTTTTTTCTTCTTTGCACTTAAGATGCACCCATTGTTGAGCAGCAATCTCAGTTTTTGTACGTCCGCACCAATATGCAATGCATCTGAACGCGTCATCAACTTTATTATCGGCATACAGATAACGACTTAATAACATAGCAACACGAGCCACTAAATTTATATCAATGCCGTTGGGGTCGAACATTGAGTACAATTTATCCAGAAAATCCAAAAAGGTATGAAAAAATTCTCCAGAAATCATGTTAATGCAAAGATTATATGCACTTGTTAAGGAAAATTCTACAAATGATGTTTTATTTGAGCAACTTGATTTACTCACGTGTAGAAATACAGAATTAAAGAGTTCCATCCATTTAAATATTTCTTCTGAACATAAATACGTAGGATTTACTGGTATAATATGTCGTATTACAATGAAAGCAATATTAATTAAACTCATTTCAGTAGTTGAATCTTCATTGAGGTCACAGTTTTTGCTTTTACAACAGGTTTTACTTAATGAGCTGTACTTAGAAAAATCAATTAAATAGTGTAGTAATGTCAACGTTTGCAACGTTGCCTCTTGAGAACTAGTAGTTAGATGATCGCACCACAAATTCTTTAATTTTATCGCTGTAGCAACAACGGCTTTAAAAACAATATGAAGCAAAGTATTTTCCAATACTGAATTGGGCTCATGTTTTTTAATAAATGAAACCATTTTTCTAAGCTCAATACTTGAATCCAGACCATTCTTGATAGAGTTGTTGATAAATTTAAAAAATTGTAATAAAAACGTCAGTGAATCTTTCTCCATTTTGTTTAAACTGCAAACATCTATCATTAATCCCACATGTTTGATCAAATAATGCAATTGCACTTGTTTACACTTCATCATATTTTGCATAATAGCAGCAATACTTTCAATTAACATAGAATATAATTTCATCATGTTGTCTTCATCGCTCTTTTTCCGAAAAACACTTGTGGACAGAACAGATTCCCATGTCATATCTAAAAGCACCAAATCCATCGACTTTCCTTCATGTAGTATAGTTCCGTTGATATTTTTTACAAGAGTCGTTAATGAATGCAGTATATATTCTATTTCTTTCCCTGTGTGGCATTTTATCAACTTTAACGCAGTATCCCACATCAATATGACATTTAACTTCTTCAGATTATCATTGACTGGGCATCTCTTATAAATATCATGAGTAAAAAGTTGCACAAGGTGTTTAAAAATATCACAAGATGGATATGAACTTTTAAGAAGATAATCACAAAAACGGACAGCTTCAGATACACAATTTTTAAAAAGTAAATACCTGATTATAACATATAAACTATTTTGCCAAGGTTGTATATCAGTTGCAATAAGTTGTCCAAAGCAGATATCGGAAAGTTCAATAACATCATTTGTATTTATAGTTGCAAACTGATTTTGGTCGGTTGCAGAAAATTCACCTTGAAGTTTATGTGCCAGCGTACTTATAACACTGACAATGAAATTTTGAAATTCTTTTATATCTTTAATTCTGTTATAGTTGCAGTTGAATGAGTCGATTGCTTCTCTTATGTCATTTTTGAGAATGTTACTTTGAATTAAAAGGTAGGTTTTTTTTAATTCACTCATTTTCTGAAAAATAAATATAATATAATGAATAATATTAAATAAAAAACGTACATGAAATTTTTAATTGCTATAAATTGAGTTAAGTTTTAATAGAGTTAAATTTTGACAACTTATGAAATTTTAGAATTAAGAAGTGATGAATACCAAGAGAAAAAATATAGCCACCTAAGAGACTGAACAATTGAAAAAACAGTATAGAAATCACCATACATTATTTCTACTCAATTTTTTAGTTAGTTATACGTAATTCAAAAACATATTATTAACAAATATTTAAAAAAACATTGATAAGTTTAAGAGGACATACAGCCAATTTTCCAACATTAAAACATTCCTACACAGAATGCTTTTACTCGCACCACAATGATTTCAGAGCAAAAATACCTATACCAAAGAGGAAAAATGACAATATTTTGGACACAATGTCATATTATTATTTTGATAAACCTAATATTTAGCTTAATATTTAACATTGAAAATAATATTGTTTAACTTTTTTAAAATAGCTATCTTTTTTCAAGTTTTTATTTTTAGAATCGGATATTACATGGTCTCCAAATTTTATTATTTTACCAATTTATTATGAATGCGTTGTAATAGGTGTTTTTGCTCTAAGACAATCATGACTTAGTAAAACACATTCTGCGTAACTATATTTAGATGAAAAAATATTGAAAATCGCTGACAAAGACGCTGTGATAGTCTGAAAATCAAATAACTGCCAAAAATGAGGAGTTATAATTATTAAACTAATAATTACATATTATAGCTTGAGCTGTAATATAGCTTTAAATTAAGTTTTAGCAAAAAAATTACATATACCTAACTCCTAAATGAATAGGAGGTACCTTGTCCTCTTAAGAAAACCTTTATAAAAAAAAATGTACAGCAACGTTTTTAATAAATGGTTACTATGTAAACCATTTAAAAAAAATCAATAGGTAAACATAAAAAGATAAGTAAGCAAGGAATACTCTTAATTTTAAAACTTTTTTTACGGTGTTAGAACTTAAGAGTTAATCAAAGGTTCAAAAAATAGGCATTTGAAAATAATTGTTTTTAAAACTGTTGTACAACATATACTAACTAATTTTTACACTACATTTCAAGAAAATGTAAAATCAAAATATGAAGTCTGGACTAAGATATCTGCTTGATTGTTGAACGCTTTCTTACAAGTAGTGCCTTATGACGACTATCAATATTTCTTATTAGTTTATTTAAATCAATTAAAGAAAAAAAAAATGATGAGAGTATAAATATTAAAAGTATGAATCTTTTAAAATGTAATCTTCTACAGTTGGGCTAATTTGTGACCTTAATATATTATTATTCTAGTTCACAATAATTATTTTATACCAAAAGTTATTTTACAAAATAATTATTATTAATTAATACTCTATTTATTTTGTGTAAATCTAATAAGGAATTTATATAGAACATACAGTTTTCAAATGTTTAAGAACTAGAAGTCCTGTAAATATCAACAATTATTCTGATATTTTAACTTATCCAATATACTAAAATGTATGTACCCATATAAAATATAGTATAATTTCTATTTAAACTTGAGCTAACGCATTTAACACACTGTTATTAAATTTAGTGCTCCAAATATCAAAGCAAAAAAGTATTACTGCTGACGAAGTTTTAAAGATTAAAAATGTTTGTATTATTGTAAAACGTACATACATATTGATAGAAAACCCAAATACTTGTTATTATTATTATTTTAAAATATACAGTACCAGATAACAGTCGATGGACAAAGTGTTTGTTATATGCCGTTTACAATAAATATTCTTACTAACAAAATTGCATAACTTATGTTGTGCATAGAATTAATTTTTATATTTTAATAATAATTAAATAAATATAATAAAAGTTTATAAAGATACTTACTTATCGATAACTCTTCTAGCTCAGTGACATAATAAAGTGTACATTCATATAACTAATGAACAATTATCGAAAACCAAAGCAGTAAGCACTATTATATATTATTAGTATAAAAATTGTTCTTTCCGAGTTCGTTATTATAAATTTTATTATCACTAATCACGGCACTAATAACATGCAAGGGATTTTGGCGGTTAGCTTTATCGCATTATCATAAAAAGTTGTTTATACCCATGGAAGAAAACATGAAATAGTGTTAACAGATCAACTGATAAATATTGAGATATAAAAAAACTAATTGTTATTTGTTAACATAAATATACTAAATATTTATTAATATTAAATCATGGTATGTTCCTTAGGTTAAATAGTATAACATAAAACAACTAGAATTCTCCAATAATTATTCCACTCAAATTTAACAAAAACTGTGGTACCAACAATGTGTCAAGCAGTGTCGTTGCTAACAATTTATCAACGGTGGAGTTAAGAAAAAAACATTTATCCCAATAACAATTTAAACTTTGAAGTTTGATGTTAATTCCAGGCGCATTCAATGTAATATTATATAATAGTATAGGCAAATGCTAGTTGAAAAAAAAAATGAAATCGAAAAAAGCCAGTTCACAGTACACTGTGTTTAGGCCGCAGAAAATAACAACTTACGACATTGTGACGAGATGTTTTCATGAGTCATTCTTTTATGGAAACAGTAATCTGTAAACAAAATCTTAATTTTAAATTATTCCTATACTTGATTAACTGTTAAACCAGTTGATTTTATTTATACCTTCACTATACCGCTAATATCTACTTAAGTACTCACAGAGGTTCGTATTTCAACCAAAATAACGGTTTCGGAAATGTCTGGAACGTATCAGCCAGGTTTTGAAAACCATCGGATCAATCGTTCAAGACAATTGTGATTTTTAGAGAACGTTTTTTTTTTGTTGTAACTTAAACTAATAAAATCCCCAAACCTATTCTTGGTTGTAGATAATTTTAAAAAAACAATACACTTTTATTTTTTTCCACAGTGAATTTAATATCCCGCTTGTCCGGCCGTAGTAAAAGATTTTAATTTATTTTAAATAAGGTTACTAAAATCAATGTTAGTAGGGAAATCAAATATTGTTGTCAAGTTTTTGCAGAAGTAATACAAGTAAAAAAAAGTGTTATGGCATCACCTTTTACATCATTGTGTATTTATTTTTATTAAAATCAACTATAATAATAATATTAATAAAAGCACATTAATGTATTAAAACAAATTATAAAGATTTAAAATTTTAAATAATGTACTTTTATAAGCCATAAGCCATGAATATTAAGTGTCAATTAAGCAAAACAATAGTATATGGTAGATTATTTTATTAAATAAGGAATATTTACAAAACACAAATTTTGAGAAAGCAAAAATAATGTTTATATATAATACAGCAGTTTGGTTAGGTTAACTAGGAATGTTCTAGAAAAAGTTCCAAATAAAATAACTTAGTAAAAAATATATTATACAATTTTAATTATGTAGATAAAATTTAAACCATTTAGACGATTTAAACATGATTTTGTGTACATTATAATTGTTTTGTTCTTGCCAAATATTGGCAAGAACATGGCATTACCTCATCAAAATAAATACAATCATCAATAAAATATTAAATAATACTCAAATGGTAATAGATATTACAAGATGCACAACAAAACTCTTTTTATGCTATGCTTTCATGACATGTTAAAATATAAGATAATGTATTTTGTCTTGCACAGTTTATTGACAATTATCATCAATTTTTTGTCCAATTATCCTCATTTGTTCTAATATCACTATAAAAGATAACCCAGAGTTTAACTATGTAGGCTAAAAAATACAAATAAATATAATTTTTAAATTAGCAAATTTACTTGTACATATTAAATATGTACAAGTAACAAATATGTCATATTTCTGTTCGGAGTAAAGTTCCAGAAATTGAATTATTATAGTTATTCAATAGTTACTTGTCAAACCTTCTATAACAATCTTCATTCATATATTGTGAATTTTGATTTTCAAATTTATCTTGAAGTTTGCAGTTTTTGACATTAAAAAAAATAATCATATTAAGATTATAAACACAGAAAACTTCATAATCTAATTTTGACAATACAAATTTTTTTATGTGTAGTAGGTACCTTCTACACAAATAATAATCATAACATTTACAAGTAAAATAAAAACTATAAACAAAGCTACTTTAAACTATTAAATGTCATTACTTATTAAGTGTTTTTGTGGTTGAAGTGGTTAACAAGACAGAAAAATGAGTAATAGATTACATGCTAACTCTATAAATAATAATAACAAGATGATGAATAGTAAATTGTGATAGTCATAATAATTATTGCAATGCTGTGCCTGACCAACCATACAGATTGCAATAAAATTATATAAAAAAAACTATTCCAAGAAGAGACCGCAAATATACCTACTTAATGGTATTCTAAATAAAAAATAGAACAGAAAGAAATTATCTAATTATTAAATATAACAAGAACATTATTTTGATCATTTAAATGAGTAATTATGTAACATATCATTTTGTAAGAGATTTTTTCAGTTAATTTGATGGTGGTAAATTATATTGTTTTCTAATGGTTTTTAAAATGTTTCTATGAAGTCAAATTATTTAGCTTGGATGTATTTTAACAAAAATCCAGTACAGTGGGGTCGAGTATGGTGTATAGTGGGTGGGAAAGACCACAGGTCAACAGGAATTATAGTAACTTTTACATAGCATTATTACCATTATGAATGTGATAAAACAACTTTAAAATAAACCCTTTAAGGCGCATCTGTAGACAGCAGAAATTAATAATGGGAATCCGAAAATTCGGATTTAAAAAAAAAACGCCATTTAAGCCACTTAAAAACTGTAAAAATATTAAATATAATTACAATATAAAACTGTTTACTTAAGTAAAATATTTTGAAGAAAATTAAAAAAAAATCCAAAAGCACTATCTTTATGGCGTTGTTTACATTCATATTTTTATACATTTTCATAAAAAATATTTTACTTAGGTACACAATTTTATATTGTAATAATATGTGATTCTAAGAGGAGGAGTGGCCGAGTGGGTAAGGTGGCAGTGTATTAGCGCTCATTGTCGTCGGTTCAACACTCGGTCACGGGTGCTTCATTTGTCGGGCCAGCAATCAACCGGTGAATAGGAATTGCCATCCCCCTCTCTAGCGACGGATTGACGACCCGTCCTGAATAGTGAATTCGTCAGGAAACCATCTCATGATGGCAGCGTTGGGGTATCATGGCCCGTTAAGCTACATGATGATGATGAATAATATTTATAAGATTTTTAAGTGGCTTAAATAGGTTTTTTTTAAAAAATCAGAATTTTTAAATTTACATTACTAGCCATACAAATATTGATAAAAACATTGTAATGGCAATAATATGCCTAAAATTGCTTTTTTTTTTTCTAAATATATTTAGAATATATTTATTTATATATTTAAATATATTTATTTATATATTTAAATATATTTATTTATATATTTAAATATATTTATTTATATATTTAAATATATTTAGAATATATTTAGTTACTGACATACTTACTTGATTATTTTGTTTCAGTTTTATAAAAACAAATTACTCATATTGCAAAATATTTTTAACAGTATATGGAAAAAAAAAGGTACCTAGGGATATTTTTATTTAAAGGCAATTAAACGTTTTATCAGTAGATTTGTTTAATGTTTTTAACGATAAATGTCGATTCTATAAAAAATATTTAACAACAATAAAAGTTTAGTAGTCACAAAACTATATTTACCGTTTTAAAACGAACAACTTATATTAATACAAAAATGATAAAATACTTCAACATGTAAACAATGTAACAAAAAAAAAATATTTCAAGCTTCGAAGACAGTACTTAATAATAGCACTATGAAATTATCAAATCAAGATTACAAGACTTGTTTATCACGAACTAAGATACTAGGAGTAACTATTGAACACGGTTATATAGTAGATAACCGTGCTATTGAATAAGGACTGGAAACAAATGAGTTGGCGGGTGACGGGGATGTGGTCATGAAGTGTATGACTGGCACGCTTTAGTAGAACAAAAACGTTACATTATTGTATCACCTAATAACTTATTAGTAATTGTCAAATGGCAATTGACATTCGACGGCTGCAGAGTGTGGACGTGAGCAGATGGCCTGATTTCGTACGTATTTCGATGGTCATAACTCATGTTTAATATTTTTTATTAGTAAATAGTAATAAAGATTTCATAGATTCACCATAATTAGGTATGTAAAAATCGTAATTACCTAATTTACTAGGATTTTTTTTGAAGGTCACACGGGAAGAACGGTAGTAGTCCATTTATGAAAATTTTGGAGTAGAGCAAAAACAAAGTTTGTGAAGTCCTCTCTCTCTTACATAAGAACAAAAAAATCACATTAAGTGCTATTCTAATAAAAAATGTATTTATTTAAACCATCTATTGACATAAGTAAAAAAAAATTAATGGCATACATTGAAAAACAAAACAAATTTCATAAATGTACTACTACCGTTCTTCGCCTGTGCCCTTCATTTGCATAACGAATAAGTTAGCATATTATAGTACCTATATGTTGTATCTTTTTTTACTTGTCAATTAAAAAAAAAAACAAAATAAAAGTCGACAAAGAAAAAATATTTATTAACTATTATGATATCCATCATCCGAAACGGATAAGAACTCCAGGAAGAAGAAAATACAATTGTAACAAACAATTTGGTTTATTTAGTAATACAATAGTTTAAAAATTTGGTATAAGTTAACAGGAGTGATTAAAGGGCAAAAGTAGTGTTTAATTATTTTTCATACTAACTAATAAAAAATACGAGTACTAAAATAAATCATAATAAAATTAGATTTCATAATTTTTTAAACTTATCTTATTATATCTTTCGAGGACTGGTAATTTCTCATCAATGATTGGGACGAATCCCATTTTGTCATTTATATCTTTGAAAAATACTTTATTGTTAAGAGGTCCTGTTGAATTTGATTCTGCGACGACTTTTATGATAGGTGTAGAATCACAGAACTGAAAAATACATTAAAATATTTATATTAATAAATTGTAATGTAAAATATGTGATTTGTATAATAATTGTAATTATAATTTTTAACTTACGTCATAAATGATTGAGGATGCATAATCGTATGATCTATTAAACTTAAATATTTGTACACTTGCTTGCAATTTATAAGGTAGCGGTTCTGAGTCTACCAAAGCTTTTAGTAGTGATAATGTTGTACTTAATCCGTTTATGATTCTGTCTTTTTTAACATTTTTGTATGATCGCTCGTTCAAAAAATATGATTCATAATCATTAATATTCGACGGTGATGTGGCATGTGTCTGTAAGCAATTATTTATATATTTTAGATTAGCAAACTTGTATAATAATGCAATTGTACTTATCAACTTATTAGTCACAGTTTTTAATGTGATAGGTAGTATTATTGTTTATTTTATAGCGTTTTGTACGCTTTTTAAAAGTATTTGGTTTTACCAAATAACCGGAAATTACATATACTCTCACGGAATACCATGTTGTCGAGTTTACTTTTGATGTACCTAAGCAGTATTCTATTACCCAATAAATAAGTTATAACAACTTAATGTTACTAAGAAAATATAAATATAAACTAACTTGATCAAATATATGCTTACAATTTGTATAATTTAATTTATAGCTCTAAAATAAAGTAAATAAATACATAGCTTAAGATTTTAAACAAAAAATAATAGTTTATTAAAATCGTTGTCCAATGTTAAAAATAACATTTTTATTAGGTATTCTTCACAGTAAACCCAATGGACTTTTATTAGCTTTTAAAATATATTTATTACCTCAATTAGCCTCAGTTTTTGAGGTTATTATAATTAAATACATTTCGTTTTAACAAATAACCGGAATACGATGTCGGGTTATTCGCTTTTGAAAACTGAATAAAATATATTTTTAATACCTCAACCGAATGTGAATAATATTTGTTTTCTAGTATATCTTTGTTAAGTGGATTTGAAAGGATCTCGTTTGCCCATCCATAAACCGTATCCGGATCTCCTTCTAATAAGCACACGGAGACTAATGTTCCCTGGGCTTCTAAAATCTGAGCCATTTTCAATGCAATGATTCCGCCCCATGATTCTCCGATCAATGAAACCATGCTGTGATTGCAAATTTCTTTTAGTTTCTAAATAAAGAATGTCTCATTGAATGAAGTTTATAAACTCGAGTAGGATATTAGTAAAAATGTTTTTATATTTACTGTAACGAGAGATTGAGCAACATCGTTAATTGAACTAATTTGTTTTGGAATTCGTGCTTCAAATGTAGGATAAAACAGTTTTGCATACAATACTTCAATATTTTTCGATTTAAAACCAGGTATCATGAACACTGGCACCACTCCTTTAACGTGCGAGTATCTTGGGCTCTTGGTCTGTATTTCAATAAAATCTGCTTCGTTGTTTAATTTGTTGAAAAATTCAAGTAACTCATCAACAGAATCAGGCATTTCGCTTAAACTGTTACTGTTGTTTAAGTCACCTAGGAAATACAGGTAACGTACATTATTAATCTAAAATGTAGGTTGAAGGATATTTGACATAATGCTAAAAAAAATTCGGATGAGTAAAGCAATAATATAAGACGATCGTTACCTTCCAACTGATCAGTATTTTCTTTATTAAATATAAAAGTATCGGAACTCATGTCTTGGGCTTTTACGAGTAGTGAATTCAACGTTGTCAACAATGACGTGATAGACAGTTGTTTTTTGGCCGCTGCACTCAATTGTATATTCAACGCATGCAATCGTTTTGATTTTAGTGCTGAACACACGTGTTCGCTTTTACAACAAATACATATAAATATGGCCGATTTAGGTTTTTTGATCAACCTCTCAAAGGCATAACCAAACTGATTTATTTTTTCAGTGTCACTCTATAGAGTTTATAAAATACAAGTTTTAATTTATTTTAAGTGTAATTTTAAGAACAGTCTGCTATTTTACTTGATTGATTAAGAATATTCCTCCCAGTTGATTTGATGATGTCAAACGATTAAACCAATTCAGAGCGTCTTCTTTTGACTTTATAGAAATATTGGACTCGATGTGTATTGATACGTGCTTTGATAAAAGTTGGTTAAATCTGTCGAGAAAAGTGTTACCGTTAAATATGGGCCAATACTTTAGAGGAACTGCATTTAATGATATGATGCGTTATGATCGAAAGATACCTTCTACACTCGGACGGAGCCAATAAATATTTGTTTATCATTATTGTGATTTTTCGTGCTCCCCTGTTAACCAACCATTCAGCAACGTCCAACCATTCATTTTTATTACCTATTGAGTCATAATACAATGTTTAATATTATGTCAACGTGTGGTTCATATTATATTACTATACCTATAACAACATAAACTTGATCGGCTTGACATTGATACAAACCACGTGTGGCACAATTAATAAAACCTGACTTTAAATCGTCGTCGTTTAAAGGTGAAATGAGTTTTTTCGGATAAGTAGAACTATTTCTGTTATTTAATAAGATTTTTAATAACTGACACATTTATTTAAATTTTTTACAACGAAAGCAGTTTTAATTACTTCAAGCTATCAAATAATTTTTCACTGCTTAAAGGCAATTTTACAACGTCATTTATTGGTATAATTACGCCCTGGTTGAGTCCTTTCGCGAATGCTTCTTGAACAATTCGTTTGTTTTCATTGCAAGCTGTCATTAACATGTATGAAGTGATGGAATAAAATGATAAATCTTTTAAAAATATTCTTGTTCCTAATATTAAAAACAACCAAATTAACTTTTGACTGAAGTATAAAAAAAAAATTCATATCAACAATAGTTAAAATCACCCATATTTTCCTGTTTTAACATATCAGATTTAGAAAAGTGAAAGAGTTTTCCATGATCAGCAATGGAACGTATTGAAGCTTGTAGTCCATCACCTTCTAAGAAATTTAAAATTTGATCTATTCCTATAGATTTAGTGACCATCTTAATATTTATATCAAAATTGTTGTTTTCATTTATAATTATATTTGAACTCCGTAACTGTTGTATAACATTTTTAATTATTGTTCACAAATGAATACTTTGTATATCTTGACTTCTTGACTTACCAAAGGGAAGACATTGGAGAGGTATTCAACTTGCTGTTTATTTTCAACAATAATGTAAACATTGCATCTTTCAGATAAACAAATCGAAATAGCTGCTCTTCCAACAGGATGTATACCAGACGTAATTAATATTGATTTGGATTTGTCCAGCTCACTTAATACGTTAAACACATAATACGCCTAAAATTTAAATTCAGTTATAGAAATACAGAAATTATATTACAAAATTTGAGTTACTTGCCATGGCGTACGGTAATGGAACTGTAACGGCATCTTGTAGCGACCAAGTTGGTGGTACGGGCCAAGACAGGGAATTATATTTTGTTAGAATATTTTCTGTTTTATTATAAGAGAAAATCCCCATTACAGCTTTGCCATTTTCAGTAGTACCCGAGTATTCGAGTGGACCAATATCATCCTAGAACAATAATTAAAAAATAAAAAAACTAACATCAATAAAACAATAGTTTTTAATAAAAATAATACATACCTCTGTATTATCAATGACTACATTTTTATGATTTATTCCGAGGTATTTTATAGTCAAACCATCGATGCTATAAATAATAATGTTATTAAAGTGTATCGATACTAGAAAGCATATTTATACTATTTGTGTTATACATACTTCTCTATTGGAATTTGACTAATAGGAAATAGTTGATGCGAACAACGATCATCCGTTCTTATGATTTCGATAAATGAAGTTTTGTATGATCCCCATCCTCCGTTTTTATAAATATTTATTATAAAGTCTTTACATAATTGTTCTTCATAAAAAGTTTTGTTTGTGTGTAATTCCGGAGCACCCGAATCCCAAATAAAAACAAATCTAAAAAAATAAAAAAATATTTCAAGTTTCTATAGAGTTCTTCTCTAGTTTTGAGAAAACTTTTTTACCTAAGTTTCTGGGTCCTAAATATTTTAAACATCTTCGATGCATACTCATTGATTCCTTCTGGTGGGACAGAGTTGGAAATTAAATAGATTTTTCCTTTATCTGATTTACATTTCTCCATATGTTTCCATATACTTGAATCCAATTGACTACTGTTTGTCTTTATAAAAATACTGTCATCGCTTAAATGTTTTACCTTAAATAATGTAATTATGAGTTACTAAACAATATTAATATACTTGTTGGACATTAGGCAAATGGTATATTTTAAGATGACCACGCTATCAATATTTTCTTATATTTATAAGAAAATAATACGGACAGTGCTTCCGGCGATTTGAGATTAATGACTAAACAATTAAATTAATTAAAAAAACTTAAATAACGATCAATTGCAGAAGTCAAATTAAAACTTAAAAAAACACAACATTTCAGTGTTCTTCATCAGTTGACTTTAGTACACCACTAATCATCAGTCACAGGTTTTGACTTGTCACTGTCCGTTTTTTTAAGGTTTAAGTTCAAGAGTTTGTTTGTTCAACACTTTGTACTTTCCCTTACCACTTGCACTTGCCTTGCGATTAGTTCGTATCCTGTAACTATCCTATCTCCATTCTACTACTCAGCCTATCTCTATTTAAACTCTCTGTGACGATAGCCCTTCGACATCGGCGAGAAAACCGGACTGCTAGCCTAAACACCGTCGACAACTTATCCTAGAACCTTCATACTATCTGGTGTCAATAGCTCTTAAAATCATCTTTTGTCATACGACAGAAATTGTTATATTTTATTAATTTTAATTTTTTGTTTTAATTACACTTTTGGGTATAAAAATAGTCATTATTCAATGTTTTTATTATTAGTGTTACCTTCTTTATTAATGTTACGTAATTTTTGTCAAATTTCTGTTCTGTGATCATTTTCCATCCCTTAACATCACATATACGTTTTTTTGAGGTAATAATAATATAACTGTTTGCTCTATTAGCTAAAACCTTAATAGAATCTTGTAAATAATCAATACTAGATACTGTTATGTATGATCCTAATTCCTCATTATTGGAAAGCTTTGGAAAATCCTCCCTGTCCACGAATACGTTCTAAGAACAATACACACAAATATATGATATATTATAGACTATAAATAGTAAATACCATCTCAGAAGTTACAATTGTTAATTGTACATAATAGTAACCAATAATTAATTACATTAATGTTTCTGGTGGTGTTCAAGATGTGTTTCAAAGCATTAGTACACAGTTTTACAAATGGATCATCGTACTGATACGGATCTGATACAGTTACCTTGTGATGAGTATTACTTTTATCGAATTTACAAATTTCGGTTATAAATTCTATACAATCTTTAATACAGTCATTGATATCCTAAACAATTTATATTATAAATATAAGTAAATTATTAATACAATTAGCTGTTAACGTTTTTATATGTCTTATAAAAAAACTTTACCTGTTTAATGCACTGGTTATATAAATAAAACATATTGCTTTCTAATCTCAAGGCAGACGATTCTCGATTATGGATATATAATTGCTTAGTTTTTACATTACTTATTTTAACTCCATCACAAACGATTTCTTTCGTTATTATATTATAACACGTTGGTATATCTGAAATAGTATAATTGTAGTAAATCAGTATTAATTACTTAAATCTCAAATACGTTCAACTTACTTTCATCATTGCAATTCTCAAATATTGTAGGATTAATCCAAATTTCTTGAATTGAATTTGGAGTCTCAATAAAATGACCATTTAGATGTTCTAATAGTGATATTTTTAATAAGGAGTCCAAAAAATATAACCAATCGTTATTCCATTTTATATTTGCACGGATTTCATTTTTAAATATTTCTACATTGTTAATTGTCTTGAAATGTTCTCCTAACTGATAACCTTTTTTTTTAAACATGGCGTACACTTCATTTTTTGATATTGACAATTCAGAGTTTTCAATTGTTTGGTAGATTGTTTGAGGAGTTATGTATTTTTTATCTGTGAATTCTATTTGACCTGTCAGTACAATCGTGCCGTTAAAACTAAATTCAAAGAATCCAGAGCTTTGGATCATATAATCTATTGTTTCCGACGAATCTGTAACTATTTGTTTCATTTGTTTTATAAAATGTTATTTATTATTCTCATATTCAATGAATCTTACTGTTTGGTTTAATTTCAATATTTTCTTTAATTTTGATATTTTGAAAATAAATAGTATCATTAAACGGCTTTTTCATATGGAGTTCACTGAACTTTTCCCAAATTTTCAACTAAATATAATACGTATAAGTGTAAAATATTATGATTATTTACTAACTTTGAGTACTTACCAAAAAGAATGAAACGGGTATAAAGTAATGTCCATTAATTTTATGCTGAATTAGTTTTGCATTGTCATTTAAAGACAATAGTATCTCTGCCTCTCGATTTATCTAATATTACAACAAAGTTTATAATTCATTATTTAAATACATTTTATTATATAATTGTATTAAGAGTATAAACAAATTATTCATACTTGTTTTATGTATTTATATTTTTATTTTTTAAAAATAATATGATTACAATGTAACATACAGAGTTGGGCATGTTTTATTCGAATAATCTCTATATTCGACCAAATCTAAAAGGATTCCTTCGAGTAATTGTTTTATTCAACCTAATCTGAGATGATTTATACGAACAACTTTTTACTCGACTAAATAATGCCCAAATCTGGTAACATACCTGGTAATACGTGACCTGTATATATTACTGTTATTATTTTGAAAATAGCTACAATAGAGTAAACAACTATTTGGATAAAAATTTTAATTACTGATCTTCATAAATTTATATTATTTAAAAACCTGCATACGATTGTATGTATTCTATCAAAGTGTAAAGTATTATAATGCCTTATTTTCTTTAGGTTTTACTACTTTGATAACTCTATTACTTATGACAAAGTTTGCTACTACGTAATATCATTATAGTATTTAATACCTTATAGTCCGTTTTATAAATATTAGGCCACTGATATGAATGATCCCACAAAGGAATTGTATGAAGAAATGGAGTCCCTCGGCTTACAGGGTAATCAACTGATGGGTAAAGTGCCTGGATATTTGGGTTCATATCGTTGGTATACATTCTAAAAAAAATTAATTCAAGTTATTAAACGTTTTTTTAACACTTACGTAAAAATAAAATGCAGATTTTAAGAATATTATTAAATTATATTGTATTTACTTTCCAATCGAATTTAGCAAAATTTGAATAGATTGACCGAAGACATTTTTTGTTAACGGTATATTAGTCACTGTCTCTGGTAAAGAACGTTTTAAAATTGCTTGTAGTAGACCGTGTGGAGCGATTTCTATAACAACAGCGTCTTTAGGTATGTGCCGAGTAGCTTCCTCAAATAACACACTGCTTAAAAGATTATTCGTGTGATATTCAGCTGATGACTGTTTGGCCAAATTCGAATTCCATTCAGACTCTGGAATTGAACTACTTATCCATTTAGAAGATCTATCCTTTGGTTCTTTAATTACCTGTACATTTCAAAACTGTTAAAAAAAAACGATAAAACTAGGGATACCTGTAGACAAAAGTGAGACGGAGCAATGACTATTTCTTTTGGTCGCATTGACTTGCAAAAGCCATATAATTGTAAATGCGTTTTTTCGAGTCACAGAAAGGCATAAAATAAGTTTATAATCCCAAATGTTAGTTTTTTCCTAATGCCCAAAATTTGAGAATTTTTCTAATATTTTTTTGCAAATATTTTATATAAAATGTGTAAATTTCAAACTAGATTCTCTACAAAAAAAACACTTTGAAAAACAGGTAAAAATTTGTAGAAACGTCAAATAACGACCACTGTAGTCAAAATGATGTGTAAAAATAAGATAGTTTTTTATATTGTCGACTTAAATATGTACACGTACTGTAATAAATGTGTTGATTTGTACCTAAAAATATATAAATATTTATAAAACAAAAGGGTCTGGAACTTGACCCTTCACGATTAAGTGTTTGTTGGGGATATCAATTCTTTTTGTTGACTTCAGCATCGTAGACGTCGTTTTGGTTTTTTACAAGGCACTGTAAGGTTTATGTACATTGTACGTCATAGAATGTATGTCGATTGGATAAATATTCATGCGCGTCACTTCACGCATTTGGAACTACCCTTCCTAAAGCGGCACTAATTTTAAGGAAATTGCAGTTTTTTAGATTTTTCCCTTTACTTACACTACAAGACCTATCTTTGTGCTTAATTTCACGTTTTTACCTATACGGGAAATACCTTACAATTTTGGTGATTAGTGAGTGAGCCAGTCAGTCAGTCAGTCACTAACAAAAACAAAAACTTTGAAATTCTCCTTTTAACACAGCGGCCTAGGCGGCGATTGCTGTCCGCGACGAGCCCATCTATTATTGTTATTTCTCCTAAACTAATTAATCGATTTTAATGGAACTCAAACTATGCATCTTCCAGATACCAATAAATATATACTTTAGGTTTCTTCACTATTGGTCCGGTAGTTTGGGAGGTGTAGTCAATGATAAATTATCGTTGGCTGGGGGATAGAAGGGCTCGGTTTTGCTCCGCCAGACCATTTAACAATTTGTTATACTTCTTTGAGATATTTCAGAAGAGCGGGAGATGCTGGTTTTATGTATCTGCTGTGATATGCTTTTCCTGCTACATTCACTGTTTTAGCGAAAATTCCTTGAGAGGTTAAATGTAAGACAAATTTTTTGACGCTATCGACTGGACCTGATATGGTACAACTAGATTTACTGTTGTGACAAGCAACGTCAATATCTTCCGGCAATACATTTTTTATATCTTGATAACCAACACCTAGAATGAAATAAGTTTTGCTCGTATTTACTTTGCATACTTATACTTCTTTAACTTAAACACCAAGGTTATCCATATTACCAATAGCGGCCATCATTCCGGGTATTAAATCTGCTTCTATAGACGCAACGCCGCGTGCGTATGCAGCTAATAGCATTTCTTCAGCAGTTAGACAACCATCTGCATAAGCACAACCTAGTTCACCAACCGAATGCCCAATGACACCGTCGGGTACTATTGCTAACGCATTCAATACATTCACTAAAGCTATCTAAAAAATATTAATAATATTAATGTATAAATAATCAACAAAAGTATGTATTACCTCGTACTTGTATTGCTGCTATTCCCACAAACGAATTAAGTATATTTTCGAATATACTTGGGTTTACTGTTGTAATTATATCAATGATATCTATTCCTTTTAACCGCAACACATCGTGACATTTTCTGATTGATTCGGCAAATATTGGCAAGCGCATTAAATCTGCACCCATTCCGGGCCATTGGGAACCCATTCCGGAGAATACAAACCAAACTGGTCGTTTTTTTAATGTAACATTCTATATTATTATGAAAAATTGCATTTATTGTGTGTTCATAGAATTATAATCAGATGAAGTGGTCCTAAATTATAGCTAAATGAATTTTGTATACATATTAATACAGCTCTTTGTTTTTAAATATTATGTTTAAAAACAAATCATTTTCTATCCATTTAATACTAAAGTTTTTCAAATTAAAATCATTATAAAGCAAGTTAGGTGCTTTGTGTATAATCATGATTATACAGTAGAAAATTCATTGTTATTAAAAGTCTATGAACAACAGTATTTAATATTTAGTTTTTGTGTTTTAAATACGAGTATGTGACATTTTTAAAAAAATTATTACCCAACTTTCTATATTTTCTTCCGACCTCAAACTTGGATAAATAGCAAAGCTTCTATGATAGTGACCTTGTATTGTTTTTGAAAAAATGTTTTGTGTCAGCGAAATATATTCTTTGTTGCTTCCATGTTTTAATATCTAAAAAAAATGTTATTTATTTATTAGTATATAATCTAAGTATTTATAAGTCATTCGTTAAGAAGACAAATTGAACTAACAAAATAAATTTAGAAAACAAATGATTTGGGCAAACCCGCATTTATACGCAAAATTAATCTGTTAACAGTTAAGATTAACCCTTTCAGACCCGAATTATGATCCCGTGAAAAAAAAAAAATTTTGTCATGGATTCATTTAAATATCATTCAAACTAAGAAATTAAAAAAAAATTGTTTTTTTTTTGTCGACTCAGTACTGAGATCCTGAGTCATGCCATTGTAATGGCAAATGGGCGTTAAAGGTTGTCATTCGTTATGCTATTAGGATGACAAACGGGCACCAACTGGTTGAGGTACAAAACAATAATAAACCAAGTTTTTTCAGCTCTATTTTTTTTTATAAATCTTTACTGTTGACTAACACTTAAAACTATTTGTAACAAATAAAATTAACAATATACCTAGCTATAAAACAATTTTATTTATCATATACATATATTCTTTAGGTATACAAACAAAATTAACGCTACATTTATAAAAAAAACAATGTATAGAGTAAAATGTTCTTTGAATAAAAACTTTAACAGAAAGAATAAAATATTCCTGATTTGGTGACTAACAGTGAAAATCATAAAAACAATTTCTATCTTTAGTCAAACATAAATGGAAGTTATATTTTTTACACATAATATGTGTTCTCATTTTACACCCTTCATGTTTGCATAATGTTGCATCTTTTCGATTATCAATAAAAGCAAAGTGATTAATTTTATCTTTAATAATTTCTAATGAGGGATTTTTTGAATCTATTTTGCGATTTTTGTTTGGGAGTTTAGGAACATCCGGAAAAATGCGGTTTTTATTATCTCTGTTGTTTGATAACAAAAATCGTTTACCAAGGTAAAATTAATTGATTAGCAACACTTGACGCCCAATTGCCATTGTAATGACATACTATTGGAGGTACAATAAAATGATAACGGTAAAAGATAATCTCGATATAAATCATAATATGCATACAATATAAATTGAGAAGCAAAAAAAAAAAATATGGGATTTTTAGTGTTTATTTTTTTGTTGAAAATTGAAGATAATGTGAAAAAAAAAAAAATTTTTTAGCCAACTTTTTTTTTTTTGATAACCTTTCATTATCTTTTCATATTTTGTCCATATTGCATTCTTATTATTTTTAACGTATTCTACACATGTTTTTATGTGTATATATATGTGTTACACAAAGATATTATTTGAATTGAATTTTATAGCGGCTTTTATTTTGTTGTGCCATTATAATGGCACGCGGGTCTGAAAGGGATAATCGGCTGTCAATATTGATATCAAAGTTTGCAATTCGCATTTGGTGACTAAGAAGTGGTTTCCAATATGATCTTCAATTTGCATAAGCAACAGCTGTAAATGTTTTTTCAAAACATTCAAGCCTTTTTGTTGTATTTTCTCAAAAAGGGTTTTTAAAAGTATACTTAAGTTTGCTTTGCAGTAATTTGTAATTTGAAGAATAGTAATAGCACTTACATCAAACGTTATATTATGTTCTAATTATTTAATATAATGTAAATGGATTGTATACGTATTTAAAATTTACCTGTTTTATCGTGTCTACAGCATTTTCATTCGTTCTTCCAGAAACTACAATTAATTTTGGTAATACATCTTTAGTTGACTTATTCTGATTTATCTTATTATTCCTTTTAAGTATAACGTGATTAAACTCGTTAATAAAACCAAAAGAAGTTACTCCAATTATATCATCGTTGAAAGGCGTCTTTTGTGTAACCACCTGTGTGGGTAAATTAATTAAGTTAATTTCTACACGACATATTTTATTGATTAGGTACTATTTAAATATAATTGACCGTTTGTTACAGTTAATATATATATTTTAACATGTCATACGCGAATAGTTAAGTGCTTACTTGCATCATTTCGTTTCTTATAGATTTTACATTTAAATTTGGTGTCGAATAATTGATATTTGGTGGTATGTAACCACTTTCAAACGTTATAATGGCTTTGATAATCGATGCAAAGAAGCTACTTTCTTCGGTATGGCCAATGTTACTTTTTATAGACCCTATTTTTAACGGTGTCTTTCGTTGGTTGGTACAGAATATTTCTTCCATTACGTTAAGCTCTAGAACGTCTTCATCCTTTAATAGTAAATGGATAAATATTACATTCATAGTTGCATGTGTATTATGTTGAGTTCAATATTTTACTTTGATCCCACATCCGTATGCTTCTATGAAATTTACGGTAGATGGATCCACTTTAGCTTCTTTGTAGGCTTCCAGTATGGTTGATTTTAAATTGTCTTTGGAATGTTGGCAGACATGTCCTTGATGATCGCCAAACTGCATCGCTATTGCACTTAATATCGTACCGTACGAACGTTTTGCCTTTGATGCTCTTTGCAGTAGCAGTACAATACACGCTTCCGATCTATTGTATCCATCAGCTAAAATTGGAATGTATTATCAACATTATTTAGTTAATATGAAAATCTGATAAGTTAGTTTTTGCATAATTTTTTATCTATCGTTGTTGCAACGTCTTCTTTTTCTTATCTCATACAAATGGGATAAGATATAATCGATATTATTTTTGAAGACGTCTAGCCATAGACAAACGGTTAAAAGTAATACCCAGAAAATATAATTTCGCTAAATATCTATCCGTTTATCTTATCTTACCGTTAGCGCTAAATGATTTTGTTTGGGCTGTTTTCGTTAAACTGGTCAGCGTATTGTATTGTTGCTGCTTCATAAAATGAGAAGTTAAATTGGATACTCCAATAATTGCTGTGTCGATATACCCACATTCGATCATTTGTTTGGCCAACATCAAACTCTGGGTTCCACTCACCATTACAAAACTTGGACCTATAAGTTATGTATTAAACTTAAAATATATATTTTTTTTTATTTAAAAAAAAATTAATTAGAAGTTGTATTAAGTAACTAAGTTATATGCCTATTTAAAAAAAATATTTATTTAAAATAGGGTTTAGTTTATGAAAATATAATAGAAAACCCTTTTAAATTATAATGTCCTTGGTAATTTTATATTCTATGAAATTTTCTTATAATTTCCAATACCGAGGCATAATCAAGGTGTACCTTCTTTTTTAATAAAAACACATTTTATGGAGTTTCATCGAAGTTATATTTACTGACATATTTACTTTATACAATTATAAATCGTTTCCATGTAAATTGTTTCGTTTACCTATTAAATTTAGTGTGTATGAAATGCGATTGGCTTGCATTGCTCTTGCACCTCCCAACATATAAAATGCTGATTTAAAGTCTTTTAGCGTTTCAGATTCCATATCACTCATAAAAGATCCCGTAAATACGGCCGTGTTCGTTCCACTTAAATCATTTGGACTGAGTCCAGCATCAATGATTGCTTCTATTGCTCGCTCATTTAAGAGTTTTGCCTCAGGGTCCATAACGACTCCAAGTTTTGAATGAACTTTGAAAAATATTGAATCGAACGCATCAGTATTGTTCATTTTACCAGTTGCTGTAGATATATTATTATTTTCTGTAATTTTAAAATAAGCGAATTAAAAAAATACATTGTTAGGCATCAGTATAATCGGAATAAAAAGTTGTTCGTTTACTCTGAATGCATCCTCTAGTATCATCAGTCACACCATTATTTTTATTGAATAATAAAGATTTGAGTTCGTCTGCACCATTACACTCAGGAAACTTCCCGCTTATGCCCGATATAACAACTTCGTCTTTCAATGAACTCATCTTGTTTAGCTTAAGTGATCTAAAAGACTAAAACCTGAACGTAAAGGATATCTAACAGTTTTCTCTTATTTCAAATATAAAATTAAAATAACTAATATTAAACTACACTATAGACCTACCGTCTATAAGGATGTTTTTGAAATGTACTTGAACGAACAAATGAATGTATAAATGCAATATATGACACTGTAGCAGCGTTCACCTACTAACTGAATGGATTAGCTTAAAACTCGCACAGTAATATGCATTTTCACGTCATAAAAAAAAACAAACATTTAATCCTTTGTTTTAGTAGTAATTCATAAAAAAAAAATTATGCAAAAGGTCATTATTTAAATAATATTTGTTCAAACTCGCCGACTATTATGTTTATTCATCTTATTTGTATTTGACTTAATTTTCAACTCCACCGGATCTGAGTAAGCGTTCAACAAAATATATTTATTTTAATATAACTAATAATTATAATTCTCTTTTCAATCCGATTGCATATTTGTTTCAATGTTTTTTATATAGTAGAATTTCTATTTAGGTCATGTGTCAAATGCAAATTTGAAGGTTACAGCAAAACTGAAAGCTAAAACGGTATTTTTAAATTATTCAGGAGAAATTAATTAAGTAATTTAATCTTAAATACCTCTATATCGTTTTTATAAAGAAATTATACAGTACAATTTTTTCATGTTTTTCATATTATATTATTAAAATATTTCAATGCACGGTCAATTGCAGATAACGACTTCACAACCAATGTTTTGATATATTTTAGCTTCAATACGTAACTAAGAAAGTATTGGTTGGACATACCTATTTTCTCTAAGCCGTATATTCTAGTTGCATCACTATAGATCAGAAGAAATTCTTATGCAATTAATACTTGGTTGATCAGCATTTAAAAAAATTAGTCCGTTTTTTTTTTAAATCGACGAAAACGCAAACTAATTTGAGGGTTTTTCAATTTTTTAAATCGAATTAAAAGATTTTTTTATATGTTTTTTATTTGTGTAATTTAAGGCCAATAATAGGTCAATTTCTTTTAAATTAGGTAAAACAAAAAAATAAATGATGTACAGAGGAGACGGAGCATAGTGAGGCGGAAGAGTGCATAGTTCTTTAAAAATTAGTATTACAACTGAAAGTCATAAAGTTACTTTCCAATAAACTCTAATGAAATCTGTAGATTTTATAATAATACAACAAATGTCGATAAAAGAATTGCAATGAAAATAATGTGCTTAAAATTTTATTTTTAGTATTTACGTGGAAACGATTAGGGTTAGTCTGTCTATAATAATTTCTTGACGTTGTTATAAAGAAAACGTTTCTATCTCTTCTAGGAGAAAGGATTTTGATATTTTATTATTTTGTTTGCGGAATAAGGCGACTGATTTTGAAAAAAAGTTTGTAAATTTGTTGGAGATTTTCTTGATTCTTAGGGGCAAGGTATGAACTTTTTAAATTTTTGGCCCAATAAGTAGTAGTTGGTGGTTGAAATATATATATTTATATACGAGGTGATTAAACTAACGTAAGACACTCATTTTTTTCTCAAATATGAAAATTTTGTTTTTCCTAAACTTTTAGGTACATATTTTACTACATTTTTCAATATTTTGAAAACTTTTTATCACCACTCCTTATAAGCCAAAAAGGGGGTTTTTTGGTTTTTAATAAATATTAAAACATATGTTTTTAATCACATAACTAACGGATTACTTAGATTACATATTATGTATTAATATCTGATAAATATAGTGCACGGTAACACGTCAAATTATTTTTATGCGATGTAATAAAACTACTCGTCTCTGTAGTAAGGGAATATGTAGTATTGAAAACATCAAATATTTATAAAGTTATATCAAATGACCAAATAAATTAAAATTCAAACTCTAACATATTTTTTTATTTTTTGTCTACAAATTTATGTAATTAAAAACATATGTTGCCGTTTAAAAAAACAAAAAAAAACCTTTTTGGCTTATAAGGATTGATGATAAAAATTTTCAAAATATTGAAAAATGTAGTAAAATATACACCTAAAAGTTTAGGCAAAAATTTTTTTTAAAAATGTTTATATTTTCAGAGAAAATGAGTGTCTTACGTTAGTTGGATCACCCTATATATATATATATATATATATATATATATATATACTGTTTCAACACTTGTTTTAGGTGCTTCCGATTTTCTTTCATCTATGTTATTGAATGTCCAATACTCTAGCTACCTTATAATTCTATACAATTTACGTTTCATTATAAATGGTTACTTTCCACCAATGAGGTATAGCTTCCACTGGTTAGGTTAATGTACAAATAAATACATTTTTTTTAAGAATTATTATTTTATATATTTTAGTGAAAAAAATAATATTATACTTTCATGTTGTGTATAGCACAACCTTGACGTTTGGTGTGTAGTTTCGAAAGCTTTGTGAGGTTTTTTTTGCATTGCAATAATTATTGATTAATATGAATACATTAGATGTAAATGCTTTTGTATGCTAACCTATATTAAGCAGCATTGTTTATTATGTCGGTAATATGTTTTAAAAAAACAATAGTTCAATACATATTTAAACTATATAGTTAAACACGATTAGTATTATGATGGACAATTTTTTTTAAATCTGATAAAAAATATAATTTGATTTTAGCTATCTACGACTAAAGCTACATTTAAAACTAGTTTTATTTTTACATTTTTTAATTGTAAACTTTTTTTGGTTTTTCTAGTTTGCATTTTTCTCCTTTTTTTAAATTTAATTACTAAACATTACCAAACATTTTAAAGTTAAACATAAAAATGTAATTATAAAACTCTTATGATGGTATATAAATTTATAGTTTATTTTTAAACTATCTCGGGGAAAACACCAGAAAATCACTTTTTTAATAATCTAAGAAAAACTTTGTTAAACATTTTTTTTAAAAGTATCATTTCAAAGCGAATTTTATGACAGAAAAATGTCTATTTCAAAAAGAGTGACTTTTCTTGGTTGTTCTATAGTCTATACTCTACATTTATAGACTGTTGCTGTACAGTTGATTTAGACAGAACCAACTATGCACATGCTTAGTACTTTCTTAAAGCTGAAGTCATTTTTTGTATTATTTTCAGGAAAGGAAAATTTAGCAAGAAAACTCAACTATTGTGTTATTTAAATGGACAATTTTAAAGAGTAGCAGCACAAATTAAAATGGGATAAGAGCAGATATTTTTTCTAAAATATTTTGTCTCATCATCTAAAAATAAAATGAACTCTTGAGAGAAACTATTTTCAAAAAGTGGAAAATAACCAGGATGTCCGTCATTAAAATACCATTTTATGTTTTCATCTGCAACAATTTAAAAATAAATATAATATATTATGTATAAATACTCACAGTCACTAAAGTAACTGAAACAATGACCTCAATGAATTATTCTGATAAATATTCACGTATATGCAGATAAGTTGCTTCCTATACCTACCTGCTTCCTTACCTATACTGTAAACAGTAATATAAACGATTGACATAATAATAATTAGCGTTCGACTTACTTTCAGTGGTTTATTAAAAAAACTCTACTATAATAGTTAATTAAAGTTAAATATAATGTCTCTGTTGATAAAAAATAAGACAAAGGGATGTAGTTTCGGTAAATTTTCTAAATGACTATAGTTAAATTTGTATTTACAACAACTATGACTAAAGCTATATTTTTTTTATCAATTCAAAACTGTTTGACCTTATTAACGAATGAATTTAATATTACATCCGGGATGTATGTTCAGCTCACTAGAATTGATTAACAGCACGTGTTATTATTATGGAAATTCAAAATATGCTTTTCGTTTTTTATGCTTCATAATTTAATTATTTATTCGTGTTTTGTTATGATTCTAATAATAAACATATAATGTGTTACGACATTAAATTCTTTATTTATATTTTACAACTATTTATATTATTGATGTTTTATTTTTCTCTGTGAAAATGTTTTATACATACTTAAAAAAAAAAATATCTAAAATCACATTTAAATTATAATTTGTAATTTGTAATTTATGTCTAATCAAATTAAGAAGCCCGTATGACAGGTAGGACGGGTCACTTTTGTCAATTAGTAAAAGTTGGGCTCTCTATCTCCTTATCACATGTTTTCAAATAATAATTTATATCTTCTTAAGAATTATTAAAATATATCTTTGGCATTTGTTGGCCATCTTTCTTCACTGATACTCATATCGATTTAGAGTGAATTTGCTTTAAGTATGCTGTATGTCATATAATGTCCGCATTTTGTTTAAGTTGAAGTTCGAATACCTAAAATTAGAAGTTGTCGCCCCGGTATTTTGGTTATTTTCGAATAATTTTTCTAAAGTTTGTAAGGAGTTAAGCTAAAGAGTTTCTATACTTTTTATCAAATTGTATAATTCTATATTAGTTGTCTCATGATTACAACAGTTAGTTTACCTATTATTCATTACTACTGAATAAGGGATCATATATATCTCAGTTACAATTATGAGAGCTCCTAAAATTTGAACACTTTTTGCTGTTCTCGACGGGTATAAACTATTAAAATATGTTTTTTTTGGTACCTATCCACATACTGTCGAATTAACCACGTGTCAGTTACGTTTTGCGTTATATAACCTACTATTTTGAATCTTTAGGGTGTTTTCTTGTTTGGTTATTTTGAATTTTATGTGCCAATTTGTCACAATAATTATACGGCTTGAATTACGGCATTGGCATAACAAGATACGTTGTCTATGTTAGTAAAACCATGTAGAGAACTGTTGAGACTAGGGGTTTCTGTTCTGTCTTTTAAATGAGATAAATCACTATTAGTACCACTATTTAGTATCTTATTTGTTATTTCATTGGAAATGCTCGTACTGTCTGACGGATTAATATCAGAGATTAGAAGTGTTTCAGCATGAATGCGTATAAATTATAAATCGTCAAAATGATAAATTTCTAAAGGAATAAAACCTTTTTCTTCTTTAGAAGAACCGGCACATTTAGCTGTTTAAACTGAACTTTTTTTGAGTATTTATTAAACCTAATAATGATTTCAGACATATTTAATTAAACATTAGATGTTTCAATGTCAACCAATAACAATGGTCTATGATCATTGACAAGAGATTAATAAATTATAACTGAAAAATCACCATTAGTTATGACGTTATCAATATATGTACCATAATCGGTACATTTGCATAGAT